ATTTTTATTTAATTTTTTCAATTTTATTTTTTTAAGACATTGAAAAATTTTAATAAAATAGCGGAATAAAATTATATATTTTTCTTTAATATTTAAAAAAAACTTTTCAGAATATTTTTTTTTTTTTTTTTTTCATTTTTATATCTTAAAGACAGTGAAAAGATTGAATAAAATATTTAATTTTTATGTGGAAAATAAATTATTTTTTAGTGTCTCGAACTTCAAAAAATAATAATTTTTGTCCTATATCTTTACATATGTGTGTACTCGATTTGTCGAATAATTCTAATCCTGCATTTTATCTTAATTTACTGCAATTGTAAATAAAAATCAGTAATCATTTAAAACTTTACAAAGGCATTCTTAATTTTCAAAATTTGGATAAAAATTAAAAAAATAATAATAAATTTCGCAAGAGGCAGCAACAATGCATTTAGAAAAATAAAATATATTTTAAATTTTACATCGTTACGTGAATACCCTTAATAAATAAATAAATAAATAACTATGATAGTATTGTTATAATCAATAACTAAAAATACAACAAAGCAATTGCGTATATTTTTACAACGTTTTTGCGCTTGAAACAGTTGGTTTAGAAAAATGTTAAGAGATAAGAAAAATACAAAAAATATGTAAATACGTTTTAGCACATGTTATACACTAAATACATGCATACATATATATGCAACACGTGTGTTAAATATATATAAACACAATTAAATTTTATAAAAATCAGTTAAAGAACAAACAGCTGAGACTAACACACACATTTACACAAATATAAATAACTACATTAGAATGTGTTAAATATTATTTTAACATTTATTTTAAAATTAAAGTTTTTTGATATTAATTTGCATTTGTTTTAAGCCTTGAAATATGAAAAAATTTATTGAATACATAAAGATTATTAAAAAGAATATATATAGATATTAGTATGTAAGCGAAAAAAATCGGCTGCAATGTTAAAATGATATTTAAATTGTTAAAAATTTATTTTATGCGATATTTAACTCTCACATTCACATAAAAATATGTATTGATGAAAACAAATATTTGTTTAAAAAATTTATAGAAATAAATGATATTTTCATTTAATGTAATAACTACAATTAAACCGGAAATTTAACTTAAAACTACTAAAATATAATATATTACACTTTAGAAAGTAATATTTTTAATATTCAAGCATTTTTTCTTCTATTTTTTTTTTGGTTAACTTTCGAAAAAATGAATTTTTTGACTTTAGCACTTTATTTAGACGAAAATAAATATTTTTGCACAACATTATTTAAACAATTTTTTTAATAATTTTATTTTGAAATTAAAAACGCGTTATATTTAATATTAAAAAAATATGTTTATTGTTTTTCTTTAATAAATTTTTTTATCTTGTCTTTAAATATTTTTCATATATATTTTAAATTTTTAACACACTAATATCCTTACCTTTCAATGTAAACAATTCTTAAAAACAACTATAATTAATAACAAGAAACCTAGCGAATACACATACAATAAAACAAAGTTTTTTTTTCTTAATACTTTAAATTATACCTGGTTCGGTTTTTGTTTGCTTTAATACTTTGAATTATTATTTTTTCTAAAACTTATTTAAAAAGGCTGTTTGAAAAAAAAGTCGAAAAATTTGTTCTTTTTTCAACAATCTCTTCGAGGGCAGCAAAAACAAAATATAATAAATTTAGCGATATTTAGGAAAAAACTAAATAAGTTTAATATTTCAAAAAAAATCTGCGACTATGTAATCAGTTTTTTATTTTTTTATTTTAATTTAAACTTTTTCTTTCACACTTAAGTATATGTATACATATATTTATATAAATATATTCATAATGAAGCATGAATTTATACATAACTATAATTAAATAATTCTCTAAATTTTTTACAATTATTTTGATATATATAAACTATTTTCTGCTTGTACATACATTATATAAACGTTTATTATTTTCATTTATTATAAACAATTTGCATTAAAACTAAAATAAAGCAATGCTATAGTAAAATAAATATTATTAAAAAAAACTTAATTGTTTCATGCGAATTGTTTTTTATAATTTTGTACAATATAATATAAATACATTCTTTTGTATAATTTTATGAGTTATTTTTCACAATGCGACATTAAATTTTGTAAATTCTTTTATTTTAATAAAAAAAATACTGCATTTTTAACCATTAATTATTTATAGGCATACATGTCTATTTTCACCAAAATGAGGTTAGAATAATATGCTGTAAAAAGAAATCAATGTATGAGAAAAAAATATGATTTTATTAATAATTTGTAAAAAGAAAATAATATAATATTTTATATGTATACATACTTACATGTATGTAACACAGTATTTTATTATAAAAACAAAATTCAAAAATTTGTATTAAGCAAAAAATTGTACAGTAAGACTAATGGATTTTTTTTTGGTTTTTTTTTTATTTTTTTGTAAAAGTAAAAGAAAAGTATATATGTATATTCTAGTTTCTAAATAATTTGCATTTCGTTGGCACACATGCGTTTATAAGTACATTAATTAAATATAAAATAAATATGTATGCATCAAGTGCTTGAAAAATATTAAAAAATGTTATGCATACCAACGAGTATATACAAACACATATTGTTAAGCTTGCCGTAAACACAAGCAAAAAGTATATATGTATATATTTAAGTATACACAAATGTATACATAATCATATCATTACATGCATTATTTTCCATTATTCTACATATATTTATAGTTACACACATATACATATATATGCAAATAAGAGCAGCTGCGCGTTTTGAAGTTTCCTCCTCTTGTGTTTGTGTTCACAAAAGCTTTAAATATTTCGCTGCTGTGACAACAAATCTATGATTAAATAATTAATTATACACACATACATACATACATACATACCTACATATATTCATATACATTTATGTTAATGCGTATATTGTAAATGTTACATATACCCAATACGTTGCACTCTTATACAATACATAAAATGCCTATATGAAATAATATTAATAAATGCCAAAATAAAAAGAAAATTAAACAAATAAAATAAACATATTATTTTAGCCAAAATTTTATCCTAATAGTCGTAATACTCGTAAATATGTACTATGACTCACAAGTATTAGTGGCAAGTTACTAAAGCCTTTGTGCGTTCTTAATTTTTTTTTCTTGTTTTAATAAGATTTTGTTACGTTCTTGAATTCTTTTTCGAGTTTCTTTTGAAGTTTACTTTTTACTATTATGAAATTTTTCAAGTTTTTCAACACTAAAATAACTAAATGGTAACTTTAAAAAGCCTGAGTAAATTTAGAAAAATAACTGTGTAAGCTACAATGTAAAAAAGAGATTTAGATAAAATAGTGTTGTGAAAGGTAAGTAAGTACAAAGGCGACAAACTCTGTGTAATAACTTAATACAAAACAGTCAGAAACTCAAAATCATAGCGTAACATCTTATCATCTCTTGTTTTTTTGTACATACACTTGAGTAAAATTTTTAGAATACTAACGATTTTTTTAATCAGAACTTCAAGGAAAGTAACCTACAACCTAACTTGATCTTTATACCAACTTTTGCTTTTTTGAGGTTAGGTCTGAAAATTAACCTTAATAATTGCATCCGCAATATTTTTCTTTAAGTCGGAGCTCATGAAACTTCATAATGGCTACAATGTAAGTATGTTTGGAATTTTCTCTAGGTTTTTTGTAAAAGGTAAAGCGGCTTTGATAATCGCAAATTCGTTTTTAAAACGAAATTTCTTTCAAATTTTGAATTGGCGGAAGTACTCAACAAAAACTTATGTTTCGCATATCCAAATATACATAAAGACATATACGATTATATGTACTTTTTCGTACTCATTGTGTATGTATGTACATATGCATATATTGAAATAGCTCTCAAACTACTTCAATGTCAAGGTCACTACGCCGCATAGCTAAAGCTACAACAAATTATTTGCTGCTCCCCATAAACAAAACCAAACAAAGGGTGTCTTACTGCCAGTCGGCCGAAGGTTTTTCAGCACATAAACAAAACAAAAATACTCGGTTTCGTTTTCTTATAAATATTTAGCAGCTTGCTTTTATACACTTTCGCACCGAAAAGTGAAAACAAGCAAGTTGAAAAAGTAAACAAAATAAGGGAATGTGCAAAACTCAGCTGTTCACTTGTTTTTTTGTTGTAAAGCATTTATTTTGTTGTTGCGCTGGCATTTTGTACAGATATGTATGTATAAATATATACATCCAGCTGTATTTGAAAGTTTCTTCTTGTGACGTTGTCCCGTTGTTTATTTATCTTTTCGTGCTTTTCTTTTGTTTAGCATATTCACATCCAGATTTTTAGCGGCCTATATTTTACGTCGTCGACGTTAGGGGGAAAAAGCTTAAAATTGCATTGAATTTTGCACGTATACCAGCAGTTAAATGAAATATTTGCAGAATAACAATCAAGTAAGTATGTACACGTAAATCAACAGTTCTTGGCGATAAAGTAAGAGTATTGGATGTCAGTTAATTTGGTACTTGAAAGCATAGAATAGAAGTGGAAATTTCTTATAAGTCCATATTTCAACATATTAACAAAGAAATCAGCAGCATTAAAATTTTATTTGGTAATTCAAGTGAAATTTGCTACTTATTTTAAATAAGTATACATAATTATAAATAAACTCTGCATATAAATAAGGTGTGTTTGGGATAAATTTTAAACTAACACAATAGCCTTAGGAAAGAACACGTTGCATAGTGTCTTTCAGTTCTACTATTTACACGTCAAAAAACTGTTACCCGTACATTCATACTTATACTGTGGAGTTTGGTAAGTACAATACTTGTGGTTGTTAGTCTTCCTTAAGCGAACTCAATAAATGGCATTGTGCAAAACTAAATTAACTCACATTTTGCCTACATTACACTGCCATAGAAGTTAATTAAAAGTTTTACATTTTATATTTTCCTTTCATTGACACAGACTATTCTTTATTATTCACGATGTCAACTCAATCAAGGATTTTGGTAAAATGTGGCGGTTTCTCAACGCAACTTGCCCGTCATGTCGATGAGAAGATCGATGGACATCCATTATGGGGTTCACGATTCGATCAACAAAATCCAGAAGCTGTTGTACAAACTCATTTGGATTACCTTGAGAGTAAGTTAGAATAACAAGCACATTTTATAATAACCCATTAAGTAATTTTCAAATATTGCCCCCACATTAGATGGCGCTCAAATTATACTCTCGAACACCTACCAATCCAGTATTGAGGGCTTCATGGAGTATTTATCATTGAGTCGTGAGGAAAGCATACAATTGATACGTAAAAGTGTACAACTTGCCAAGGAAGCCAAATCCAAGTATCTGGATGTGGCGAAGAATGATGAAGAGATGTTAGAACCGAACTTGCCACTTATACTGGCTTCAATTGGTCCGTACGGTGCTCACTTACATGATGGCTCTGAATACAAAGGCAGTTATTCGAAACGTGTCTCAATTGAGGATATACAAAAATGGCATCGTCCTAGAATTGATGCCTGCCTAGCGGAGGGTGTGGATGGTTTAGCAGTGGAAACAATACCTTGCCAGGTGTATGCGTTACGCTCAATTGTTATGTGTGTATAATAAATATTTTATATACTACATCTAGATGGAAGCTGAAGCTGTTGTTGATATGCTGTTAAAAGATTATCCAAATGTTAAATTCTGGGTTTCATTTCAATGTAAGGTGTGTAAGGAACGTGAAGCTCTTTTGTATATCCATATTATAATTAAATCTTCGCTGCGCAATTTTACAGGATGAAGAAACCTTAGCGCATGGTGAGCAATTTTCAAAAGCCGCCTATTCAATATGGAACATAGTAAAAGCAGCGAATGCTGTGGACCGTTTAATTGCTGTTGGCGTAAACTGTCTTAATCCAAAGGTACGTATTTTTTTAAATAATAGCATAAATTTGTACATACAAACAAATTTTAGGCGCTTTATACTGATTATTCCACATACATATGAACTATCTATTTTTAAATCAGTTCGTTAAACCGCTATTTATGTCGCTGCATGCACTGACTGGCATGAATCCATACCTTTGATCGTATACAGTAATCGTGGCGAAATCTTTGATGAAAAACAAGGTGAATGGACGGGCATTGACAATTGCGTACCACTGGATTCCTATGTACCTGAGTGGATTGAATTGGGTGCAAAAATAATTGGCGGTTGTTGTCGTATTTATCCCGAAGATATTCTACGAATTCGAAAATGTATTGATACTGTTGGCAAAAAATAATGATTTTTTCTTCTTACTTTTTAAGCTTGCTTATTACTTATGTATGTTTATAAAAAAAAAATAAATAAATAAGAATTTTTTACTAAATGTATGGGTACGTGTATGTAAAATGTAGTCCGCACAAATTTCATATAATTAAACACTTGTTTTTAGTTTTATTCTGACATCCAACATGTGCTAAGCTAAGCTACAGCCACCAGCGAAGAAACACTTGTGAGCAGGTTATCATTATCACGGCTCGTTTAGAATTATGGGTCGTTTGAGTTTGTCAGTTAATTCATGTTATATACATATCTATATACATAGTGTGTATGCCAATCAAACTCGACAAGAAATTATGTTGTTGTTGCTAAGGCCTGTCAATATTCGGACTTTCATCCATGTGCTACCAAAACATATTGTTATCAATAAAGTCTCTATGTAATTGTTTATACAATTCATATATATTTTGCAGCAGCTCCTCAGAGCATGCGCTGAGTACAATGAAAATAAAAATATATAGACAAACAAATATATAGAAGAAGACTTTCATACTTTAGTTATAAAAATATTGCATCAGATTTGTTTTGAAACCTAGAGCAAATCGCGTCATCAGTATCAGTACTAACGGAAGTTGAAATTTCGTTGGACCTGACTTTTTATACTAAACCCATCAATAGACAAAATAAAGCGACCAGTGATCCGCCATCTGCGAAAACTACCTAAGACCAACGCGGCTCTTGATTTCTCCGCGGAAGATGTTTCGAGAGTTATGGGGAAGGCGAAAACCTCCATGGGACCCGATGGAATAAGCGTACTGATGCTAACATCATCAAGCCTCTCAATCTGTCTTAGACCACCCTAATAATTTCCGAAATGCAGAATCATATCGGCAGGTATCTCTTCTTTCCCAATAATTGAGGCCTGCAGCACATCAACATGGCTTCCGAAAAGTACACATCACCACAGCCATACTTAACGCCATAAACAACCAGATAATCCATACCCTGAACCAAAACCGGTTCTGCGCGAAAACCTTTCTGGTAACATTGAATCTGTCAAAAGCAATCAACTATTCAGTGCTACTATCGTAAACTACGGCCGACAGTCATCGGCAGAATTCCGAAGTCACACTATCACACCGTTATATTAAACAAGGGGTTCTGCAGGATGCTGTCATCTCCCCTCTTCTGTTTATTTTTTCTGTAATTTATCAAGGCTCTACACCAGAAGGCATCTCATTGAACTCATATGCCGATAACTGCTCGACTTTGACGTCTGGCCAGGGTATTGATAATTTATTTTCGAGCTACAGCTACAATCTGTGAATTCTGGAATCTCTATATCTTTTCTCTTAAGGGGTAAAACCACTCTAGGATTTTTGAAAAAGCAATTTTTATTTTTTTTGCTCACAGGGTACCTTTGGGTCCTAGAAATGATATGTAATTAGTTTTAAAGTGAAAAAAAAAAAATATTTCAAATAGCATAACTTTTTATTTTGCAGCAGCTCCTCAGAGCATGCGCTGAGTACAATGAAAATTTTAAAGGCGTTTTTCTCAAAATCACATTTTTAAACTGCGAGGACTAATTATTCGAACCCTTCACAAATACATTTTTTTTTTGAAGTACGAAGACTTTTCTGGATTAAATTTAAACTTTTTTTTTATAATTTAATGCGTATTTTTTAGTCAAAAATCAGTACTATAAAAAAAGTGTGCCGTTTTAACAAAAATTAGTTAACAAATAGATCCGTACGCACTTTCAAAGACTATAGTTTGTAGATCATAAAACTTTTTGCTTCTCTGTTCTAGGTCTCATCCTTTAGAAGAAATCGATCCTCCCGTAGGCGCCCTTTGAAAAAGACATGACTTAAATAATGGACCTTATTACCGCTATTTTGTAACAAAATAATATTTAAAGAAAATTTTCTTATACTTCAATAAAATGGTTAAATAGAAATTTTATTCCTTTACACATATTCCCACAATAAATTAAAAAAAAAATGAGTCTATTTTTCAACCTCTGGGGTGGCTCGCCTCTTAATTTATTACGTTAAATATATTTGTCGTTTTAACTGAAAATACTCGCAGTAGGTCATTTAAACGCTCTATCATATCTAAATGAAGCTCAAGGCGAATTTATAGAAGGTGAAGTTGTCACATCATATGATTGCTTGTTCTTTCTTACAATTTATCAAATTACACAAACAAAATACATGAGAAATATGTTTCGACATTACGAACTTTTTATTTCACCAACAAAATACATAGAACGAATTTCGTTTTTGAGTTTTCGAAACTACGATTACACGAAAAAAATATGTGGGCTTTTTGTTTTTTGTATTCTTGCTACCATGTGTAAATTTGCCTTGATGAAGTTTTTATGAAAATTTCGGTATAAAATAAAAAAAGAAAAAATATCAAGAAAACTGATCAAATGACTCGTAACCTTTTATGAATTTCCAATATTTGTACTTAATTTTGTCTACAAGGGTATAACTTTTTCTAATTTTTTAATTTACCGACGATAATGTGTTGTTTCTTTTAATTTATCAGCTGTGCGGATACTCTTAAATCAAAGTGGCTTGAAAACTGAAAAGGAGCACAAAAAAAAAAAAAAATAAACTATGAAATCAGCTCGCCACTAATCTACAAAAATTTCAATGTGTATGTGTCGACCGAAAATCGCTTCAGCGGTCATAAAGCGCCAATTATATATTCATAATCTCATATATAATATATGTGCGTACATTTAGTTTTAATGAACCCAGCAGTGATTAAAATTTGGGGAGACTTAAAAAATGATTTCGTACGGTGGGTACTTGGTCCGAGGAAACTCTTTCCACCTCATTTGCACTTGAATATGTTTCAAGAATTAAATTAAACGAAACAATTTAAAAGAAAATTAATCTTTTGCTAGTAAATTATGTACATCCGTTTAGAATTTTTATATACAGCACTGCGTATACGTAACCTTCTCGTAATAATAACAAAGATATAGGCCATTCATTACTTGACTAAGTTTTCGAAGTTCAACCAAGTGAGTAAAGTTTTTGGCTGTCATTTATCTAAAACTGGCCAGAAACTATGATTTTGCCTAACATATGTCCATATGACCAAAAGTCCTCTGAGTAGTCAAGTAACATCCGTATCGCCGACGGAACCGAAGGAGATCTGATCAAAGATACTTTGGATGAGCGCTGCTGATGATCGATCCTGAGACTGGTCGACTTTACCGCAATTGCCTTTGGTACCAGGTTTTCGCTTGAGAAAATTCATCAAGCTACATGGTTGTCGCCGGATCGAAAATCACTCAACCAAATCGATCATGTTGTGATTGACGGACGACATATAACCAGTGGTCTAGATGTAAGAGAAGACAAGACAAGAATAATGCTGGTAATTTCTACGAAGTGATGCGGCGAATTACAGAAGGTTTCAAGACCGGAATAAACTCTTGTAGCACCAAGAGAGGTGATCTTGTGGCTGATGCCCATGGTATAGGGAATTTGTGAGGGAACACTTTACCAGCCTGCTGAGTGGCATTGAAAGTGAAATACCCGGAGATTCTGAGCCCAATTTCAATATTAATGACGATGATGAAGACCATAAATGTGCTCTGCTAAATCTACAAAAAGACGGACCTAACGGTGTAATTAGTAGTCATGGCCAGTCCTCAATATATGGTTCTTTCAAACGAATTATGTGGGAAAATAAAGCTCACTATCAACGAACTGATTGGACCTTATCAGTGTGGTAAATCCAGCATATGTTGAATCTTCAAAAATTGCCATTGCCGTAAAACATATACGGACGTGGAAACTGGCACTGGACAATACCAGAAGCGCAGTCAAACTCTTTATTTCATTCTATTTTAAGAGCTGCAGAGCTAAATAGACAACGTACAATCTTCTATATTAGTGTAAAGACGCTGGCGTACGATGTTGACATTAATATCTTAGGCCTTAACAACTGTTATTTCGGCTTTTCGGTTTGACAAAGAAGTGAAGCAAATAGAATGGAATGAAGGCACTCTCGTCTTGGCTCCCACTTAGGTCTTGGATCCTCACATCATTGCTTCACAGCCATAACTTATATTCCCGTCGGTATATGGTGCGAAGGCATGGATGACCTCAACATTCAATGAGTCGGCGTTGGAAGACTTCGAGAAAAAATTTTACGAACGATTTATGGCGCATTGGCAACAGTGAATACTGCATCGATGAAACGATAAGCTATATTAGATACATATATGCTGGTTAAGTCATATCGTTCGAATGTTACTTTAATTCAGGTTCAGGTCCATGAAGTACTCGTCGGTGGTAGCAGAAGAAGGGGAAGACTCTACTCCATTGGAGGGATCAGGTGGAAAGTAACTTGGTTTCCCAACTGGCGCCAAACGAATGGTGCGCTATTGTCTGTTCGGATATAAACTCTTAAACAGTGCCTACACCAATAAAGAAGAAGACGAATATCATGGAGCCCACATACAACCGATATGTTCAAGTATGAGGTTTTTGGAAAAAAAAATCGTCAAAAAAGCATAAAAGAACGAGAAATTTTGTATTCCACACACTTATAAACTAATTAACTTTGACACCGAAAATCATCGAAGTCGGCGGAGTACTTTATATAGCACCCATACAACCGACGTACTCAAATATGAGGTTTTGGTTAAAAACTGTCAAAAAACCATCTAAAAGCATGAATTTCAGTATTCTATGCAATATATACAAATTAACTTTGAAACCGAAAATCAGCGAAGTTGAAAAGCTCCATCATTGCCCTAAGAGGTATAAAGACTTCGGCGGCTCTTCTCTCCTGGTTTTTATGTATTTTTTTATTATTTTCAAAACTTTACTAATTCACTCTTTTGGGAATAAAAACCGAAGTATCACAACATGGGCACAACACGGCGATAGTTCTGAATATGTTTGGACAAAATAAAATAACAATAACTCTTATCACTTTCAGCAACAAACAAAAATAACAATTATCAACCAGCCAGCAGTCAGCCGGTTCAATGATAACAATGAAGTGTCGATCAGAGCTATTATAAATACATATGAAAAATACATAAATACATAATTAACGCAATATACGTACATACATACACACATACATACAACATGTGTAGGGAAAAGAGAGTATACAAAAATTAATAAAGTAAGCAATAAATAAAAAAAATAAAAACAAATGAAAAACAAAACAATTACTGGTCACCAACAAAACACCCCTTATCAATGCTTTATTGATAATGAATAACCATTAATTCATGCATACAAACATTTTAAAGGCCGCCAGTGATACGTCAGTATGTATTTATGTATATACTCGTATGTATGCATTTTTTCTTTCAATCCACTGCCAGATGTATCCCATATTTGTACGTCTAGACATACAGATACGGCCAGTACGTACATATGCACAAACTCATATGTATTCACATATATTATATTTGCATGTGTGCTGTAGTGACAATAACAGACGCTGGGGTTATAAAAACCTTGGATCGTATGCAAATCGAATTAGATGTTCGCGGTACGCACATCTAATTGGACGTGAAACAATAACATAGTACTATTTGTAAAATAAGAGATTAGAAAATTTATAAACAAAAGGTGTAAATAATTGACGTTTTTGTGAATATTAACAAAAAAAATACTTAATTTCCGACGGCAGCAGCGGCAGCAGCAGTGAGAATCCTGTGAACTATACACATAACTACATATATAGTGGTGCTGGTGTCAAATAAAAAAAAAAAAAAAAAACAAAAGAATTAAAAATAACCACTGAAGAGAAATTACGGTAATTTTTGTAAATTTTCAGCTCATATAACAATAAAACTAATAATAAAACAAAAAAAACCGATTGAGAACTATTCTTCATTAGAAACATTAGAAACATTAGAAACATAGCAAATATATTGCAATTACTTAATGTCTCTAGCCAATCGAGCGCAAAAAAGCACACGCACACATAATCAACTAAAAATAAAAACAAAAGAAACAGTGTGATTTTATTTACACATGTCACTTGGTTTTTGTTTATTTTTAATTATTTTAAGTCGACATTGTCACTAAAGTGTTGTTAAACAAACACTTATGTGCATATGTTTGTATGTATGTATGAACCATAATAATAGATAAAGTGTAATAATAAAACTTAAATTCATATAAGTAAACTAATTTCATATTCGCCTCAACGTCGAGGCGAATAAGTATTAAGCAGAGGCACACAAAGTCATTTACATATTCTATATGTTTGTTTGTATGCAAACAAAAAATGCATGTATACGTAAGTATGCTTGTAAAAACGTTTATATGTATGTACATATATACACGTGCGAGGATAAACAATATAGTACGTTGCATTTATAGTTTTTGTTACATCCTATTTCTTGTAAGAAGTTTTTAGTAATTTTGTAAATTATTTTTAGCAACTTTAAACTAAACATAGATTAAATATAAATAAATTTAGTAATTTTCTTTGGAGTGCCCTTTCATTGGCTCTTAGGGAAAAGTATAGTACCACATTAATTGTCTTAAAAAGTTATTAAAATTTACATACATATGTATGTATGTAACGGCAGGTTGTGATAGTGTACATATTAATATATCTTTAACCAAGTTATATACCTTGTTTCGAAAATAAAAATTACTTTGCATTCATTGAGATTAATATCTTACATTCTTTGTTATATTGATAACAAATAATAAATACAGTAAAAAATAATTAAATTAAAAAATATAGCAAATACAAATTTATGATAACAGTTCGTCTTCGTATACAAAGTGAATATTTTTCTAAAATTCTAGTTTAATTTTTATTTAATAAATATATTATTTTTTTGGAAATAACATTTCGAATTAATCATAGAAATTAAGCTCTCTTTTCCAAAAAAAAAAAAAAAAAATATTTGTATATATTATTAAATAGAAGTAAATTTAAGAGTTTTCTTTACAGTACACTTTCATTGGCACGCAGAGAAAGGATTGATTACATTATACAATATATATTTTTTCTTCAATTCTATTTCAATTTGAATTTTTACTTTCCATTGATTCGATAGATTTACTTCTTTCGTTAGAATATTAAATAAAAAAATTACCGTCATATGTATGTAGAACTCAAGAGCTGGAACATTTGAACAAGGAACACTCGATCAATCGTTTATTGCCCATTGCTTGAAAATTTTGTGAAACGAGCTCGAACAATTTGAGCTTTTTCGAGTATTTTCCCAAAACTTTTGAATTTTTTTAGAACGTCTTTCCATAATTTTAAATTTAATTATACAAAGTGTAGAATTCCTTGAAATGCTAAAAAAATTTTGACAATCATAATTAAAAGTTAAAATATTTCAAAAAAAACATTTTAGCAATTGAGCAACAAACGACTATAGAGCTGTCCGCACTGCTCGATAACCGTGTATCTAGAGCTTTAGTACATATAAAAATAAAATCTTGTAATAATTTTGTTTGTGTTCACATTAGGCATCGTTTATTAAAAAAAAATAACTAAGCATTCAAATTAATCATAAATTTTTACAGTTGTTCATAAAAAAAAGTCAAAAATTCTGGTTAAATTTTTTCTTCGACCTTACTTGCTTTATTATATTAAATATAAATACATACATTTATATGTAAATATAATTTTAAAATAAGACTTCCAAAAAAGTTAAGTTAAATTGTTTCTTTCGATTGACTTACATTCTTCATTTGAATATTAAAAAAGAGATACCGAAATCTTCACCGTTAAGAAAAAAATATGTTCCTTTAATTCCAATTTCAATTTTTCTTTGGAATTTCTTTTTATTTTTTTTTATTTTTTTGTTACATGGAATATTTTAAACACATTTGTTCCTATGGAAAGTTCTTAAAATTTTCCATTAAGAAAATAATCATAATAACAAAGTATGATCTCTTTTGATGAATGTATTAGTTCAAAGAAAAAAAATATGCTGACCTAACCTACAATTTAATAAACTCATTTGAAACAGATAACATCTCTTGGTGTTGTATTGGCCAGTCAGTTTTAGCTACAGATTTTATTTTTAAATATAATAATATAAGCCAGAAAAACTGTTTATTTATTAAAGAGATAATAAATATTTCGATCGGAATCGATATTAATCGATCATGCATTTACGCGAGAGGTTATTGTCATGCCGGCGAACTTAAAATAATTCAAATTCAGTTTAGTTTTTTTTAATAAATACATATATTATATTTGCATTTATGTATATATATAAATATTATTATACATGTGTATATACATACCGCTAATTTTTTGACTGGATGTCTTCTAGGATTTCTGGGTTCAATTTATTTTTTTCTTTCTAAAAAATATAAAAAAAAAAAATAAATAAAATATTTTTAACTTACATAAACCAACAGGGCGTATGAGTTACCTTTTCTCGATACGCATACAGTTTCGTAACCATGTTCAACCACTCGTATGAGCGATTTTTTCTTGTTGTAATATAATTGAACTGGAACTGGAATAGAAAAAACATGTACAGCTTAGTTTCTAATTATATTATTTCAACATTTCCTAATCTCTTTTGTGATATGTGATGTAAAAGGTTTTGTGAGATTCGACAATATGCAAACTTGTTACCAACCCACCCAACTGACGTCGACAGCTAAACAGGAGATTTTTAGCCAAAGTACATGAATTACATGCATACATACATATATATATGTACATGTTTGTAAATGTTGACCCATATTTATCCATGTTGTTTCCAAGTGCCAGAATTTAATAAAAAAAAAGTTTGGTAGGTGTGGCAATTTATGAGTATAATAATCTATAAAACCGCTGATTACAAACGCGAATTCGAACAAGATTACATCTGAATGCCTTTGAAAAAAAAAAATTAATGTTCGAATATTGCTAAAAAAATATACATGATATATCAGGTGTACAACTTTGCTTCCGCCGTTTTTTTCCAAAATTAAAAGCTTTATTGCGAAAAATTGCTTACAGATATATTATTCAAAGTATTGTCCTTCGCTAGCGACAACTTTCTCCCATCTTTCCGGCAATTTTCAGATCCTGGCTTGAAAAAAGGAGTCCTCTTTTGACGCTATCGATGAAGCAATCCATTTTTCCAATTCTTCGAAGGATTAAAAATGTTGATCTGCCACGCAGTGCGCCATCGAACGGAATAGGTGGAAGTTAGGATGGTCGACATCTAAGGAATACGGCGGGGTGGGGTAAGACTTCCCATTTCAGCGTTTCCAGGTACTTTTTGACCACCTTTGGGACGTGAGGCCGAGCATTGTCGTGTTGGAGGATGACTTTGTCATGTCGCTCTTGATATTGTGGCCGCTTTTCTTTTAGCGTGCGACTAAGGCGCATCAGTTGCGTTCGGTAGCGATCTCCTGTGGAGGTTTCACCCGGTTTTAAGAGCTCGTAGTAAATCACACCGAGCTGATCCCAAGAAATACAAATCATAACCTTATTTGTCTTCGACATCGAAATTTAATGCATTATTTCACTCAGAGCAGCATCACCGTAAGTTTCTGAGAGCATTCGATGCGCTTCAGCTGCATTTTTTTTTTTTTCGAATTGTAACAGAAAAGTAAAACTTCCCACAAATGGCGAGTATTAAGCACATAAACGGACATTTTCGAGCGTGAATAATACGAAAACAAGAACAACTGTCACTGAAACGGCGATGACAATTCGTTAGGCACTGTCCACACTCACTTTAAAGGCGTTATCATCTATGTATTTCAACCAGCCTCAGCCGGTACAGCCACATATCGGAAAACGGCGGAAGCAAAGTTGTACACCTGATATTTCGCAGACTTTAGCTAGTCGGGATTTGATTCGCAAGCAATTTTCGTCAACAAAATTCGAACGAAACTCAAGTTTATTCCTCAGCAACAGTTATCACAACAGCATAGGTGTAACTATGTATGTTTATAAATATTTACATATGTACTTAAAAGTATATGTATTAATATTCTATGACATTGTTTACCCATAATTGCTTGCTAATATTTGTTTAGTGCATTTAATTTGCGTTAAGTATGCATTAATGCGCACACCCATTCAAACGTATGCATATGAATGTATACGCGTAGATGTACGCTATGTGCGAATACCCTTAACGACAAATGAGATCAATTCTCAGGTTCATTGCACTTGTCGTCTTGATTATTTTCATAGTAACGAAAGCAAATAAACAACACAAATACGAGTATATGCATAGATATGTTTATAAAAATAGATACGGTGTGCATATTAATTCAGATAGAAATGAATGTGAGCAGTTCATATAGTATGTGTGTATTTGATATGATCTCACATAAAAATATTTCTACATATGAACACGAAAAGTGCACGTGTATATTTTTATAATATTTACACTTTAAAGATCATGACGAAGAAATGCACTAAATACCACGATGCGGCACTCTTATGATATACAAATATAAAAAAAAATACTTAATAAGAAACTAGAACACCTAAAATTAAATTTGTATGACAGAGTATGTGAGTGAAAGATCTCCAAAAGCACATATGTACATATATAAGTAAACAAAGGAAAAAAGGAATGAAATTAGCTTCATTTTAAAATAAACAAGGTGAAAAACATCGTGAGAGGAAAAAAAGTGATTTTAAAACAAAAACAAAGTAAGATTCCTGAAAATCGCTCAGAAACAAGATGAAATAAATAAATCGAGAACTGAAGCCCAGAATTTAATTATGTTTTAGATTTTAATCAATTTCTGCTTATTTCGCTTCATATATTTACTAAATATGAGTACATAATAATTTGATAATAAAAATCAAGAACTTCTGAATGCAACCTAAAAATAAGTTTTATTTAGCTATTTTTATTTTGACACGAATTTTTCACTCATACATACATTTTCCTCTTTGTTATAGTACTATATTGTTTTCAAATATGGGTCCGACGCGCATACTAACCAAGGATGGTGGCTTTGGCACACAAATGACAGTTCATGTGGGCAATGCCGTTGACGGCGATCCACTATGGAGCGCTAGATTTAATGCTACAAATCCGGCTGCTGTTATCAATACACATTTGGACTTTTTGCAAAGTAAGCACTAAACTTTTTATATACAAATATATATGTACACATTTTAATACAAATCACTTTCACAATATTTATATGTAAATTTCTTTATACACAAAAGGTACGGTTATTTTCCATTTGGCATCATTTAATTGATAATTAAAATTTATTATATATTTTTTATAGATGGTGCTGATATCATTTTAACAAACACTTATCAATCTAGTGTTGAGGGTTATGTTGACTATTTGGAATTGGATGAAGAACAAAGTGTTGAGTTGATGAAGAAAACAGTAAAGTTGGCGCAAATTGCTAAGGATAAATATTTGGCTGAATGCTGTGAGGCGAAGTTAAAAGTGCCAGAAGGTAAATTAGCACAACTTAATATTATATTTATTTTAAAATTAAATACTAAAAACGTGAAATTAAGGTGGCGAGAAATTTACAAGCGCGCTCAGTCGTTTTTATTTTTAAAGTAACGAAAGAATCGAAGAATATGTAAAACAAAACGGAAACGGATGCTTACAAAACTTGAATTTCATTTAAGGAAACGGAACGTAACGTTAACGTTTAGAATAACTAATCGTCCTATTTTTACTTTTTTCTACTTAGGCTTCCCATTAATTCTTGCATCTATTGGTCCATATGGCGCGCATTTGCATGACGGTTCCGAATACACGGGCGAATATGTTGATGATGTGCCCATCAACAAGATTACCGACTGGCATCGCATACGCATCGATGCATGCTTAGCAGCGGGTGTTGATGCATTAGCAATCGAAACGATACCCTGCCAAGCTGAAGCGGAAGCACTAGTGGAAATGTTATGCGATGATTATCCGGAAGTTAAATTCTGGGTATCCTATCAATGCCAGGATGAGAACACATTGGCCCATGGTGAAAGTTTTGTTGAGGCAGCAAGATCGCTATGGGAATTACTGAGAGAACGCACTGCACAAGCACGTTGTTTGGCCATAGGTGTTAATTGTGTACATCCTAAGGTATGATAAGAAAGTGACAAAATAATTTGTAAAAGAATGTTTACAAAAATCAGTTTTTCTTTCAACATTACAGTTCGTTACGCCATTATTGAAAAGTTTAAATGGTAATACGCCAGATGCTGAAAAAATTCCCCTTGTTGTGTACCCCAACAGCGGCGAAGTCTATGATGTAGCGAAGGGTTGGCAAGGTCGTGAACATTGTGTACCTCTGGCGAATTATGTGCCAGAATGGTCGAAATTGGGAGCGAAAATTATCGGTGGTTGCTGTCGTACATATGCTAGGGACGTTCGTCTAATTGCGGAAAGTGTAGCTTCACAAAATAAATTAAACAGATTTATTTAGAGCATCCACGAAACTGTGATCTCAGAATATTGAATAAATTAAGATTAATTTAATTTGTAGACAAATGTACAAAATATAAGAAATTTTATACTAATTTGTTAATAAAGATATAGCAGATATAATTAATAGTCGATTTCAGAAATTTATTCTAACTTAGGTCAGGGCATTTGTCGGCCGCTGTTGTGGAATAGTTAGCACTGCATGCCACTATGCGCAGGGCCACTCGAATCCAGTCACCCCAACATAAAAAAAGTTATACACAAAATTTTTTTTTAAATTTGCTTGTTCGCTGGTAATGTCAAACCCTCCAGGTGTACTTCTGATATGAAATAAAAAAGCTCTTATTAAAAATCCATCAGCGATGGATCGCGAAGCAGCATTAGCTAAATAAACTAATGAAAAATCATTTCCAAAAGGATTTTTTGAGAAATGTTGTGGGAGTGAGAGTCCTTGGCCGTATAAAAAATTCTGTGTCGCCCCGGTATAAAGACTCGATTGTCGCGGGAACTATTGGATTCTAGTCGCTTCTGACAAAAGGCTTGCCCCACCCGCTGGAGGGATATACAGAAACTCTCTCTACGCCGCTTTGTAGAATTTGATATCCCTGCAATACTTTTAAGGTTATGTAAACTGGCATACAACAATACCAGGTAAGGAATATGTGGCAAAATGTGAGAAATAATCCGTTCGCATGGAAAATAACCTGCTGGTTGAAGCAAAGGAAGAGGAATACCCCCGCGCGCTATTATTATTGTTTGGGCCAACCAGAAGATAAAGAAGATACGCACATTTTTGAGCTGGTTTATGGTGGTTCAACAACGAAAATAGTCATTGTGATGGTGTAAGCGGTTTGAATATGTCAAAGTGTGAAGGATGTTTTTAAAGCTAATTAATTTTTTAACCATTCCTAAGATTTTATTAGTAGCAAATGCTCCTTAAACAACATTTCAAATATTTTAGTTTATTACGTTTTAAAAATGTTTAACATTTGTCACCCTGTTTTTTCTAACGTTATGCTCATTCGCAAACGCCTAATAACTTGTGCTACCAAATGTCATGTCAATTGGGTTTTCACATTAGTTTGGAAATAGGTAGCGGTAAATTTTGCGCAAAAATAAAAGTATTTACTTTAATAAGTCACTCAATTTAAAAAAAATATTTAAATTATTTATAGCAAGCGACATTATCTACAGAAAAACGCATCATGTTGATCAAAGTAAAGGTAAGTGGCTGGTAGAATTTCTGTAGGTATAGGAACTTGCGAATCATCGCTCACAACTTGGGAGAAAACTTGATACAAACTCAGTGCTTTTTAATAATTTAATGTTATATATTAATTTAGACACTAACAGGAAAAGAAATCGAAATCGACATTGAGCCCACAGACAAAGTGGATAGAATTAAGGAGCGTGTGGAAGAAAAGGAAGGAATACCTCCACAACAGCAGCGACTTATTTTTTCTGGCAAGCAAATGTAAGTTGTGCGTACGTATGTGTGTACTTGCTTTACCAATAACTACAAGTTGCTGTAGAAATGCTTAATTATAAACAATTCGATAATTCAGATCAAGCACCTTATGTATGGCTTCAGAATAATTTCTTTTTTTTTCTAAAATTCAGATTCCGTAGTGCACTTCATAAGCTATATGCATATATGAAAACTATATATATACTTTTCTTATTTTAGGAATGATGACAAGACTGCCGCCGATTACAAAGTACAAGGTGGATCAGTGCTTCATTTGGTCCTGGCGTTGCGAGGTGGGCTCCATTTAGTTAAGGCATAGAAAAAATGAACTAATATTAAAATTAAATAACGAAAAAGCTAATATGTTGTGAAGCTAAAACATGGTTAACTAAGTGTTTGCGACGCAAAAATCTAATTTTCGTAAAAATATTCTCAATGATATGGTGTTTGTACGCGTTGATGAAATAAAAGAAAAATAAATTTTGTAATACATCTTCACATTTAATTCTAAAATTGGCCGAAATCGTCAGATTAATAGTCTAAGCATGAGATAATCTACTGCATTTACACGTCAGCTGGCGCTGGCAATACATCCAACCAACAAACGATTTTTAGGTGTACATAGTTCTGGCTTCAATTTTGTTAAGATGACTTCATAGCCAACTTCTTCGGCTTGTAGTTTGCGATCGGTATCAATGATATCCATACACAATTGTCCTTGGCGTGTGGTTTCTGGACGACAATTTAAAGTACCCAGCTCATGTGCTTGATCCGCAGTATGTGCTATGTATAAATAATCTCTTTCATTCAAAACGGTACGGAACCGCTCGCTTAAAGGATATGGAATGTGCGGCATCGGTTGAAGTGAACCGTAGCAGCAAGGGCAACAAACGAATCGTGCGCGTGACCGGCGACACTGCTGTAAAACTATATCCGTCGCTGTACCACAGGCATGTAAAGACGTACCAACATCAAAATGTCCTTCAAAGTAATCAATATTGCACTGGTAGAAACGACAATTCTTCAATCCCAGCTCCATGGCTCGTAGTTTTGCTCGCTCCAAAGATATTGCTTTATTCTCCATTAATATAATGATACAATCGGGCAATTGCAGAGCCAATAATATGCCTAGATGTCCCGTGCCGCTGCAAAAATCAACAATTCTATCACCTGGTCTTGCTAACGAAACGACTGCATTAGCTAAATTTTGTAGCTGTTGGCGTTTACGTAAAATGCGTTCACGGGGTAACGCAGAGCTCTTTTCATGTTCAGGTTCTATCACATCCCAATTAATGTGTTCTTTCTCATAAGTGGTCGCGGAATCACTTGTAAACTGTAATTGCAACTTTTCCAACTTATTCAACGCCGCATCTACTTCACTTTGTTCAGTAAAAATACGACTGCGTGGCTTATAACGTTTCGGATCGCTTTTATAGAGACTAGCAGGCTCACAGTCTGGTATGCTAAGTAAAATTGTGGTTTGATTTTTCTCTTCATGCAAATATAATTCATTTAACATATAGCTGCACTTGGTATCAAAAGTGTCGATCTGTTTTAAAATACGAAAGGAAATTGATAATTAGCGTGCCAAATGCATTAATTCTCTATCTTACCTCAGTTAACCAAGTATTAATTAATGGAAAATGTACCAGCATCCCAACACAATGTTTGAATATTAAACGCATTAAGGTGTATAAAATGATATCAGCTATAGTAAAACTAATGCCTTCAGCAAATCGATGCTCAATAGGCAATTGTTCCTTAGGTACACTGCTGTCAAATACAACTTTTTTACACTTTTTCGACCCATTTTTATTCAACTTTTGGTGCTGTGCATGTTGTTCACGTGCTGTTTTGTAAATATTATGCATCCGCACAGGTTCATTCATGTGTCTTTCGAAGCGCGATACTTCCTTTGGTATATCCTCCAACGTTTCGCCGGCAGTTAGTGTACTCAACAACCGATTGAGTGCAGCCACAACGTCAACTTCGCAGAATCGTGTCCAAATTGAGGACTCCGCTGGTGCTAATAAGCAAGCACCTTTGAATCCAAGTAATTTACGGCGCTCCGGGCATTCTTGTCGTGCAACAAGTTCTCTGCAGACAGCGCACATACCCGCAATATAGGTATTTTCATCTTTTACGTAAATTGGTAGTCTGAGGTCTTTGATAGCCTCTACACTTGTTGCTTCTTTGCGATGGATCTTTTCCTCTGTCAACTCACGCTTTAACGATTCGGTATGTAGACGCAGCTTGCCCCCCTGGATTGTTGTTCTCACAAAATTCAATTTTATATTCGAAGGTGATTGCAAATACCGATACATATATAAAGCCATAAATGACTCAATGCTGCTGTATATTTCTGTATTATCATTACGGGTAGTGATTTCAATTTCCACGTACAATTGATCCATTACTATAGCAGCTTTTTGATTATTTAACTAATTTTAATTCATTTATGTCGAATATGTTAACTTTAAAAGGCGCTGCTGTTTTTTGGTTATGTTTACATACAAAATGTCATATGGGTAGCCGAAAGGAAGAATTTTAGGGTTGCATTAAGGACACAGTAGCTCGTATTGATTTATGCTGATGTTTAGCAAAATGTTTTCATTAAAAAATAAAATCTACAAATTTTATATCTCTTAATTATTTATTATATCAAATATGGGCTACAAAAAGAATTTATCTAATCTATTTCACAAATAAAAAAAAAATTAATAACGCTTCCAACGCTTCTCAACACTAACAGCGGTTGTGAAAGCTTTTGCTGAAAGTTTCATTTGTTTTGTTAGGCCAGCTGTTTGTCCAACTAAAAAGATTAACGCTTATTATAAACAACGGTAATTATAGAATAGTTTAATACAAATAAAAACAAATAAGTTTTTTAGGTTTCTATCAGTGACGAACTAATGAGAAGAGTGGCAAAAGGTAATACCTCTACTATACGAAGACAATTGATATACTTGCATAAATTATATATACGCACATACATATTTATGTATTTCATATTATCTTAATTAAATATTTCCAACGTTTTACTAAGAAACAAAAGCGAAAATGGTGGAAGCGTAAGTGAAACAGTTAAAATACATTATTTTTTTACCATATACATATAAACGATTGAGTGATGCGGAAGCTCGGATGCCATCTCGTCATCGATAAATACTATTAAGACCTACCATTCAATTTATGAGTCTAGCGCTCTATCAGTTAACGCTGCTAAAATCGGGTAGTGAACAAGTAATGTGATTCTGCTATTTGGTGAAGCTATTGAGTATTTTATCTTTTTAATAGACTGGTTATGAGACTGGATATGAGAGTTGGTGCCTCCACCTTATTCAAAGTCGTTGAAGTACAATAGCAGACATAAAGAAATTTCTCTAATTTTCTCGAGTCAGGTTTCTGTTTTCAGTTTTGACGCACAGGGTTCGTAGCATGTATTGTATATTAAGCTACTTTACATGATAAGTACTAATGAACTTAAGTGCGGAATTATTTACTTATTTATCAATTTAAACGGATGACGTCAAAAAAGGCAAAGTTTTTTCCTTTTTTTCGGTGCGAAGAATCGGCTGTCGGGAGAGTTCAGCATAACCTATAACAACCCTTGGTAGGAAGGGTTACCGACAGTCATTAAACGCCATTCACCGAGTGTCCCTCAACAGCTTCCTGAACTACATATATTCCAATGAATGGAACTACCGGAGTCAAACCCCCACCTATTGCATACGAAGAGCTCAAACTGCCTCGAGAATACTCTCCAACACTGGTGCAAATTAGAACCCACCTATCCAAACTCGACCTCATAATCACCTTTTTACATGCCCCTAAAACCAATTCAGCTAACTCCTCTTCCCGCTGGTCCGAACCCGTCCAAACAGCTAGGCCTCGAAGTTTCAGACTAATATTGCCTGTTCTTAATTGGAATTGGTGAATCGCTATAACCACAACAACTTAAATGCGCAAAAAAGGCCAAATTACGTGTTACTTGGCAAGGCAGATCTGACACACTAATAATAAGAAACGGCTTCATGGAAACTCGTTGTATTTTTCTGACTTGAAAGCTCCTAATAAAAATCCATTGGACGTTCGGCGATGATATAGAAAAAACTGCGGAGGGCTATATATATATAATCGGTGCTTTGTAACCGCGATTTTCGGCCGAGTTTCTCCTACAATTGTTGTTTTTCGTCATCGAACGGCTGATGGGTTTTTATGAGGCCTACATATCATTTCAGGAATACACTCGGAGGGGCGAGCGCGATTAGAAAATTTAACTTAATTTTTTATTTAAATTAATTTTCTATAGCTGTTGAATGTTGGTCGCACCAGGATTTGAACGACGGTTTTCCGAATGGCAGTACGCAATGCTAACCAGCCGGCTACCGCGGCCACCTAAACCGCAGAGACCGCAATGTGTTAGAAAAACATCAAGTCACTCACCAGAAATTGGAGGAGGAGCTGGGCCGAAAAACGCTTCAAATTCAACTGCAAGCTTAAATGGCTAGATATTTTATAAACTAATCGACAACCGGCACCTCATTATATCATAACAAAGCGCCTTATGATGATAAACTAATTTCACGGAAGAGCTTAACGATTTAATTTGATTAGTGCTCATAAATTTTAAGTGAAAAGTTTATATTTAAGTGGAGAAGATTGCAAAATCTTAACTTGCTCTTCTATCTAGAATACTTTTCAAGTAAGTACATACATACATATGTATGTGGTTACAATGAGAATTTTAAAATGCAAATGTGCATACGAGGTCGGTATGAAAAATTTGGTGTTTTTCAAATTTCTCAAGCGGCGTTTATTCAATCATCTGGTTTTTTGTCTCTAGCACATGTGGCTGTATGCTTGTTGGCCAATAATATTGAAGAAATATGCAATAAAGGGTTTAGAGAGTATATAAAGCGCGTCGTGACAATGGAATTCGTATACAAAGACCAACTCAAACACTAGGCTTCAACAGGAAGGAACTGGCGGCATAAATCGGCACTCAGTCGAGGGAGTTTTCGCTATTGGGTGCCCCTTAAAGGTACAATCTAATACAATCAGTAATTTTACGGATCTTGTTGGTGGAGTAACATCCTACTTCACAAATGGATGGGGTTCCAGAACACAAATATTGTATATCCTAAGTAACTCTGAAGCAGATGAACTATATAGATTTGGCACCACTTCACAATTCTTCCTCTCCTTTATTGGCGTAGGCGCCGTTTACGCGATTATACCGTAGTTAACAACAGCGCACCATTCATGCTTTCTTTTCGTTGTGTGGCGCCAGTTGGAAATACCAAGTGAATTCAGATAGTATTCCTTCTCTCTGCTTCCAGCGGCGCGTTCTGCAGCGAATACTTTCAAAATTTGGAGTGCTTCACTCATACGGACAACGTGGCCAGCCAGCATAGCCGCTGTCTCCTCATTTGCTGAAATATGTCAATGTCATCGTATAACTCGTACATCTCATCGTTCCTTCGTCTGTGATATTCGCAAAACTTCTCTCGAAGACTCCCAAAGCCGACTCATCAGAAGTCGACATCGCCCACGCTTCTGAACCATATGGTAAGGCGGCCACTTGTAGAGTGTGAGAAAGTTTTATTGAAATTTGAAATGAATAATGTAAGAACTGCAATAGAAGTGCTAAAAGGTAACCGTCTTATAGCTACATACGCCAGTAGACAAGGGAAAATTATTACTGTCGAAACAGTCGGGAAAAGCAAGAAGACACCCCTGCAGGTTAGGTGTTCAATAATTTAATTTCGGTATGGCATGCCTGTCGTAAGACGACTAAAGTTCAATAGTTCCCCCAGCAGTTAGGTCTTTATACCGGACTTTCCTTCCCCCAAAACTTCCCGAAACCACTTTGGGGAATAATTTTTGCCGTTGCAACAACCACAACAAGAGACTGCAGAACATCTTCTAAGTGGGCGCAAGGCTATGGGTATAGTTGTGCCTCATAAAGGACGAGGTATCTCATCAAGCATACACTTTATTTGTCTACTTTGTTTGTGTGGAACAGTAGGCGAAGTATTTTGAGCGCGAGGAATTTTTTGCTTTCGAAAAAGATAATAATACAAATTGAACTAACGAATTTATGTATGTATGTACATCAAGTTTTGCGGTCAAAAACACTTGAAATACACCTGAAATGTTTACATGGGGTACAAGAGGTTCAGTGAATGACTCAGACCGCCTTAAACCCACCAACAACCTTTAAAAATACTGAGAAAGTGATGAATGTTGCTCTGAGGAATCATCGAAATGTTAGCTGATGATGAGGCAAATCGTCCGAAAAGTTCTTGAATTAACATTAACCGGATTTGGGTCCGATTTACTGAAAAGAGTCATACCCTATGATATATTAAGTTTATATGATAGCAACATCAAAACCAAAGTTCTAAACGTCCGTTTGGAAGAGTCCATAAGAACCAATACCGAAAAAGGCAGGTCAAGTTCGATCAAATATCATAATTTTTCTCACTGTTTTCTACGATTTTCATGACGTTGTGGATCAGCAGTTCTTACCATAAGGTCAAACAGTTAATGAGGTTTATTAAATTGAGGTTATGTGCAGTTTACATGAAGAAAAACATGAAAGAAACGTTTGGAATTAAAGAAAAATTGATTCATGGCCTCGGCATCACGACAAGTAGTACAACAAAAATAACATCGTAAATATACCTCAACAACTGTATTCAGCACGTTTTGTCCCCGCGCCATTTTTTTTTTCTCCAGAGTCTGAAAAGTCTAGGAAACCACGACGATTAAGGTTTAAAAGCTCATTGCTGAAAGAACTGAACCCAGTTGAAAAAAACCTCTTGCACGATATAGGCGTATTGAACAGCATTCATGGTCTCCTTGATCCAATGAATGGATCCAACTCCATACCACGAAAAGCATGACCAAACCATAATGCTGGATCCACCATGTCTTACCGTTTTAGTGGTATATTTTGGATTAAGTGCGTTGTTAGGTGGACGTCTTACAAACTTCATTGAACCTTTTCTACCATAGTGAACAATTTTTGAACTCGTCAGATCATAAAATGTTACGCCATTTGGTCAAAGGCCTAATCAAATGGTCTTTGGCGAAACGTAATCGTTTGACCACGTGTTCTTAGTCAGCAAAAGCACTTTTCTGGGGCTCCGAGCTGACAGATCGTATTCCCGGTGAGTTTCAACGCTGGCTTTCACACATAGAGATCTTTTTATTTCGGTGGCAGTAGCAAACGGATATTGTTTTGAATATTTTATAGCAAACTGAGCCAATTGAGTGAGCATTACACGTGTCCGCCCGCGTTTTTCGACGCCCTGTTTGTATTTTATAGAGTTTCGTACCATCGTGGGGGAGCAACCAATGAGGTTTTGCACTTCTCCCTTGTACAATTCTTTTTTCTTGACATCACTACATGCAGCATGATCAAAATTTCCACATTATAAAACAGAATACTGATAACAAAAATATTTCTTACCGATTCTTCAATTTTTTAGTCCCAAAAACAAAAAGAATTTAATTTTTTTGAACTATTCTTGATTACGCTGGTCAACTACATTTTGACTGATCAAAAACATCATTTTTCCTTAAAACTTAGCCGATTGCAATAACAACAAAAAGCGAACGAAAGTCTGAAATACAAATTTATGATGACTTATATTGAATTAGCAAAATCACTACTAAGACTTTGACCGCTACTGTATATACTACACCTTATACAAATATGTGAATGCTCATCACCTCTTGGGGGTGAGGGTTTGGAGAATGCCCGAAAGCCAATTTAACACCTCAGACTTATTATTTAGCGTTGTTTGGAGAATATTTACATACAAAGAAAACGAATTCTATTTACGATGTATGTAGATATGTGTTTATATTGTACCTACTGTGATTCAAAAGTTATCCATTATGTATCATATCTTGTTTACTTGTTCATATTTGCATTTAAATTATTGTTATTTAAATTTTTATAATTTTATTTTTTATTTTTTTTTTTAGTTTTTTTAGTTTTTGACTTTATTATACCCTTCACGTACTTGAAATAGTATATTAATTTTGGTCTGAAATATTTAAATACCAAACAGAGATGAGATAGACCTTCGAGCCGAGTTGTTATAGCCATCTCGGTCTGTCATAAGAAAGCACTATTGGCGATAACGAAAGAAGGGTCAGGATCAACCCAAAAGGGTGGCAGAAATAGAAGAAAGGATATCTTTAACAAATTTCAATAGAGAGGGAATATTAAAGATAATAAGATTCGATGCCAATTTCAATATATCCCTAGGGGGAAAAAAAATTATGGAACCAATCTCCGGTAGAGAAAGTAAAAAAGACCACACTCGCATGTTTGGTACACAGATCGACCAAAGACTGCAAAAGTTGTTTATGCGTGAAACACGGGCGCCAAAACAAGGCTATCGGTAAACTCGGAGGAAATACCAAATCACCTTCCTAGCAGAGGTGTTCGCCATTACAACATGAGACCAAAATTTAATAATTTGCTGTGACAGTCAGGATGCAATGAAAGCGATATCAGCATGAAATGAGTATAAGAAACAGGTACTGGCACACTAGGGACGGGATTAAACTTATGGACTGCTACCATACTAGAAGAGTTAAAGACATAATATTACTTAGTAAGAATGGGTGAAGAATACTTACAGAACAATGCAGCCTGCGTAAGCATATGCATAGACACGGAATTAGCTATAATGAGAGCATTCGCTGCTGCAATTACCAGAAATAGCGGTGTTTGAATGCGAAGCTGTCGCTAGAAGAAAACTGAGAAATCAATAAACCGCTCTAGCCTGGTAGCATTTATAAGGGCGCTAGGACTGCTCGAAATAATGTGTAGGAATCGGAGGGTCAATAGACCACTGGTCGTGGTGCTTATACTCCCTACTCATCTATATATCTCTCAAACTGTCCCTCAGTCGCGAAGTAGTCTCCCAGTTTTTGAGATATTTCAACCAAACTTAGCTAGCAGATATATTTTTATACTGTATTAATCATTTGGCGGAACCGGCTAGATCAGACCACTATAACATATAGCTCCCAATCAACCGATTTTTACAGATATGAAATTTAGGGTAAAAAGTCTTTCAAAAAAACATTTACAAGACTGACATTGGTATTCGCCACACGTAAATTTAAATTAATATTGACATTGAAAATCTTCGAAATTGAAGGACTTTACCGCATAGCCCCCATACAACCGATTTGTTCGGATATAAATCTGATATTGTCAAGCGAAGTATAAAGATCACAGCATGGCTGAAGACAGCTCATATTTCTTGATTTTTTAATGAATTTTTGATTTATTTCATTTCTATTTTTCTTTTATGTATTTTATATTGCATTGTACTTCTTTTGTTTTTTGAATCACAATCAATTTGTTAAAAATTATGACGTTTGTTATCATGCCATCATAAAGGTATTTTCAAAGAAATGTACACAAAAAAAGGAGAATTCGGCTTTGATAATTTGGAAAGTGCCTATGACTTTTGCGCACAAAAGTTATTTTAAATCTATAGATACTTTTACGTAGTTATATATGTATATCTGCATGTAAGCACTATATATATTTGGATACATATGTATGTATGTACTCGTATGCATGTATGTACATGCCATTGTTATGAAGATGAATATCTCATATTAGCATTAACAATTTAAAGTTGATATAATTTGCATGCTGCTCCTCGCCATGTCTATCCCACAAGCAAAGTAAATATAATTCAACCCACACTGGTCTATATACATACTTACTTACGCTCGGATATTCCTATATTGAAGAATGTAGATCAAAAAACAGCTTCAGCGCGGAGACGACGTCGTCAAGTATAGAGGCAGTGCACAGAGGGAGTGTGTGAGAGAGAGAAAGGGTGGAGAGATCGCAGCGCAAAATGAGGCAAAGATAAACAACTTTAACAATAAAGAGTTCAGCAAATGAAGTACACAAAATAAAAACAAATAATTTCAAATAATAATAATAACAACAACAAAAACATAATAATAATTTTAAACAACAAGCAAACAAAAACCGCTGTCACTGGCTTTTAAGTTGTATGTGAGTTGTGAGCGCATCGTGGAATATCGTTCTGAGGCATACGACAATGTGTGGGTAGCATTCGCTTTCGTACCGGTGAGCAGTCAAGTAAAGTGCTTAGTGGCAGTCAGCACAAGCACAAGCTTTTTATTATTATAATTTTTTTTTTTTTTAATAACTTTCCAATATTTGCTTTGCATTTAATTTGTTGTATTTAAATTACATTTTATTTATTTATATGTTTTTTTTTTTTTGTTTTTCCTGTCCAATTTTAAGGGCTGACGCAAAATTTTCATATCACGAGTTTGAATTCACGCAGTGCATACATACATACGTATTCCTGCCAACATGGAACAATGGAATAATGTTGAGTTGACCAGTTTGAGGAAGAAATCCTATACATTGAATCATGAATATGATTTAGCTAACAAATGTGTTGTTGCTGCAAATAATAATAGCGAATCGACCCAAAAGAGTGCTACCAACGGCACCGATGATAATGGCGCAGATAATGCTAATCAAAGTGAATTATTACAACCAGGTTCGAATATAAAGCCAAAAGTTACAACCGAAAATGTGGAAGCGCTTGTGCGTCGTCTGTATGGCATAACAATAAATGAGATCAAAGAGTTGATATCATATGATGATCGCAATTATCTAATACAACCAGATTGGTGAGTATTTAATGATGACAATGTAATTAATTATTTGGTTAACTGTCCATGTGGAAAAGTGGAGGGCAAAAAGTTAAAATGCATATATAAATAGAAAAGAGAAAAAAAATTTATAAAAAAACAATATATATTATAAAATATATACATATATACATATACATATGCATATAAAAAACAAAAAACAAAAACAAATATAAAAAACTGGAATAAAAATTATAAAAAAAAATAAGTTTACTACTACAAAACAACAAATTTATAAATATTTTTTCTAGCACCGAAAAAATATATAAATATAAAAATTTAGTACGAAAAATTACAGATTAATGAAAATGGCTTAATTGGCTGTAAAATTTAACCGTTATATAAATATGCACATAAACACGTCCTGGGCAAGATTTATTATTTTCATAATCTACTTTTATTACATTTTTATTTTACTTTTTTTCTTTAGAGCGCACATTAAGCTTGGGCATTTATTTAATGATTTTTGTTATGTAACTTTAAAAAGCTTTGGTGTGTATATATATACAAATAAATGCATTTCCTAAAAGCGCTTAATTTTAATTATTATGGAACCAAAGCATTGAATAACTCGTAAATATTACCGGAAAAAAAAGAAAAAGTAATAACACAGTGCCGTGATGCTAGGTGATGCCGGTTAGCGCCTATAAGACATACAAATAAACTATCTAAAAAAGATAAACCCTAATCTAATAAGTATGCAAGTGAGCGTACGTACATATCTTTCTATGTAATTCAAAAAATTTTTACGCAATGTCGTGTCACGTATGTACATATGTTTGTATGTAATTCACAATTTTTTTACGCAATGCCGTGACACATATTTTTTACCGTATATAAGTATGTATATATGTATACACACAAAAACAACATTAATTGTAATTTTTAATTTTTTTTTTGTTGTTGCGGTGCAACTTTTTCCATAACATTCATACTACAATTACAGCAGGCAATCGAACGTGACCGATTACTTATCTATCTGTCGTTTGCAATTGCTTGTATACATATATATATATACATACATATGTAGATATTTCTGACATACAACCACCGGCGGCTTATAATAATTTCCAATTCATAAACTTATCCGCCGCAGAAAATGATAATGATAATGTAAAAAATAAACAAACGGTTCGTTGCACTTATTAAGTGTAACAATGTTTATAAATCAAAAATTAGATATGTACAAATATATGTCTATTTATTTATTAAATAAAACATTAGAGTGTAAAACACGAGTTTATAGGTTATAAAGATCTGCTAAAATTCTTACATAATTCATTTTTTTAACTTTTTAATTTACATTTTCAATAGAATTTCATGCTTTTTCAAATCAAGCTCATTTTTATGAAGCCTGCTAGAATTCTTCTCGCTACTGTTTATTGTTTCCGAATGACTGTAAGAAACGCATGACTCTCTCGCCAATAAATTACCGTGAACAATGTACAGTCAATTAGTTATTATATAAGATTTCATTTGTCAAATATGTGTGTATGTATGCAAGGCAGTAGATAGGCTACTACTAAAAATTAAGTAGTATTACCAATTTTATAATCAGCACATGCAGTGCTCATGCAAAAACAAGTAAAAAAAAACTTTTTTACTACTCAAATATTAAACTATTTTCGATTAGATATGTGTATACATACACGTATACCTTATGAAGCATTGTATGCACGTAGCAGAGTGTAGGGAAGCTTGACACACATAATTGAAGGTAAATTTAAATTTAAATTTTTGTCTCAGGAGAGGGTGTTAAATATTGTTTGGGGTACCACATATACACACATACATATGTATACACAAATGTCTACATAGGTATTTTTAGTTTATTTATAGTTTAAAAAGTCAAATACTTATTTAAACGTTACTTTCAATTTATGCAGCCTAAAGTACATTAGAAAATACATTTTCTTTTTAGTGATAAATCCAATATTTATTTAATTTTTATTTACCTATTAACTTAACAAAGTAACAGAATGATTGATAATCAGTCAACTTTTCCTATGCCTTAATTGTATGTGAATTAAATTAGTCTTACTTTGCCTACAAAAGGTAAGCGATATCAAGTGGAAATTTGATAATAAAATAGATATAAACTTTATAGTAACAAATTAAACAGTAGCTTACAAACATTCAAACATACAAAAATACTAAACTATACTGTACACATATATACGGGTATATGTATGTGGAAAGAAAAAATGCTACTTTAATGTTGGTCGCTTTTTGAAACCAAACATTGTTAAACGCGTTTGATTCTGCAGCAATGCAGCTGTTGTAGTATTCGACTTTGAGGCAGATTTACCAGTCGTCTTCGCCTGTGACTTCCACGTGGACTTAGATTTCGTACGCGTTAGACCTAATCGTTGTTTTTCGTGTGATTTGAAAAGTTTGTATGTTGAGTTTGGAGTTTGTGATTTCGATAATAACGTCTGACTGTTATCCTCAAAATCATCATCGGAAAGCGTTATCGCACTTTCCAAGCTATCTTTACTCTCGATTTCGTCAATATCTGGCTCTATATAACTGGTATTCAGTTTTGGTAATGATTTACTAGTTTCACTCGTAGATTCTACTGTAGATTGACTTAAAGAGTCTACTACTACTTCATCGCTTGTAAATGGTAGTTGTGACTCCTTGTGAATGCTGGCAGTAGCTTCAATGTCACTTTTTTCTGTAAATATCAATCTTTTCTTTGGTGATGGTGAGTTATAGAGCAATGCTCGTTTTATTTCTTTTTGTTTTGCTTGTTTTTCTATTGAATTGATTTCGGCGGACAAATCTCTGCTAGCGGTTTTTTCAGTTCTACTAATTTCTCTTATGTTACTGGAAAAATATCGACTCTTTACCGTCACTTTTTCTTGTAATCTATCCAGCGGGTTACGAGGACTTTTTAATTGAATACTGCTTATTAAATTTTTCTCGTCACGCCCTTTTTTCGGACTCAGCACTTTCAATAAAGATGAGTTCTCACAAATTGTTGTCTTACTCTCTTTTATAGTTTCTGTATGTTGTGGTTTAGCAAAAGGATTGTACGTATTGTGTGTTGATTTGACAACAGTTTCTTGTGTTGTTTCTGGGGTATCACAATCAGAGACATGGTCGTTACTTTCTCCACTGTAACGTCGTCTTTTGGCACTTGGCTCTATGAGCTCGCTAGCTTTATGCTGATACATGGAAAAGAGTTCAGCTTCTTCAGGCTTAGCAAGCTCCACAAGCGTATTCTCTCTTATTTCTTCATTAAGCGTTTTACTTATAAAATCTATTTTACTAAACTGCAAAGCACATTTATCATCTTCAACAACTTCCTTTGAGTTAAGCTCACCGGTTTGTATTTCATAATTTCCTTGCCAAATACTTTTATGTTTGGCGCGTTTGGTTTTATTATTAGTTGCCTGTGCAAATCCGCAATTTCTATCCGGATGCCAGTCGTCTAGTTTTTTCAATGTAAATGGATTTAAATTCCCTAGTGCAAGTTGAAATGAACATTCCTCGTCCTCTATCAATGCACCTGCATTAGAGCAGTACCGCTCGTCTGTGTTGAAATCGGCAAGTTCATTCAAACGTTCCATACGACGTTTAAGGGGATTGTAAATAAACATGTGCCGAAATGTTGCCTCCGCTTTGAGAAACTGCTCAATGTATTCGTCATCCACCTATTATAATGGCGTTATCAAATTCCAGGTATAGATTAAAAAATAATTAATATGAATTTCCTTAAATTCTTTCTTTATGATATATTCACCTGTAGATTTTTCATATTCAAATATGTCGGTATTTTCTTTAATGCCTTCCACATGTCCTCCTGTTCGGTTTTAAGAAAAAATTTACATGCTTTCGCCAAGCCAATGCCAGGCAGCGAATCCAAATAATCACAACCTGACATTATACACATGCGTCTAAATTTTTCAAAGTTATATCGCTCTTTACTACAACCCATTGCTAAGTATAGTTTATCAGCCTCTACCAGCAAACCGGCACCCGTCAAGTCCAGCTTGAATATAATTTTGTTAGCACCGAACAATGTCAAATCGGAGTCTTCAGTTATAATATATTGTGCCAAATTCACCTTATTTAGCCAAGCCATTTGTGCATCTGCCTCATAAGGTGCTACAATACAATCAACATTACGCAGTCGACACTCACGTATTACACGTAAAGCCATTTCATGTGTAACATCTACACATCGCCGCATATGTGAACGAGCACCTTCCTTATCGCCAGCGCGTAATAATTCTGCTGCCAATTTGCGTGATTGTTTACGGCTTTCACGTCGGCGACGTTCTGTAAGTTCCTTAGCGGGAAGGTGACGCCCATCGAAAACTAAAATCGGTTTGATATCGTAGCTCAGCAATAGTTCCACATATTTCATGCAATAGTGCATGTACTGATCGGTATCCTCGCCACGAGCCAACTTTTCGGCACAGCCGAATGCACCTTTATGCAGCCAGCAGTAGGTATCCACTGCTACTGTGCAACCTTGTATATCTTTCAAATTTATTTTTGAAGAAGCATTTTCAAGAAATTTTATCAGTCCGCTGATACCCATTGGTTGTTACCGATAAGCGTATAAAAATTGAGTGAAAAGAAAACACTTGCATACATTAACTGTTTACTTTTTTAATAATAAATGTGTTGTGCCGCTACCCGTAGATTTTATCAAAACTTACTAAATAACAAAATATTCGCTAATAACTGGCGCCAAAAACCAACTGTCAAAATTGAAAGTCTGGTCAGCTGACTGCAAAGCTTTTAACGGCCCTGCCAGACTAGTGTTAATTACTTCTCATAAAGGAAGGAAAGCATTTTTTTCCGGATATCGCACGCGGGCATGATGAACTTTAAAATTTAAAATTTTAATAATATAAATAAAACAAATGAAATAATGAAAATATTTAATCTTATAGGAAATCTTCTACTATGAAAATAACGTAAATATTTTAACAAATATATACACCTATAAATGAACGTATGAGCTTATCTAATAATCTAATTAAATATGAAATGAGTAGTGCTCAATTAGTTAACCGGTAAATGAGGAACATCAAATTTATTGTTTAATTAATTTATTAGAATTTTTAACTTTTAAACGCGTTTTTAAAGTGCACACCGACAAAACCTAAGCACCATGCGTACGTGGGTTAACTGAACGTCTGCATTTTAATTTATAATCAGAACATTTGAATATTTATAAGCAAATATTTATGTCTTTCTTATTCAAATAATACCATTACTTTTTTTTAATCCTTTAGGAACATAAAAAATCCAATTATTACCACACAATGGCCGCATGGTTATGTTTTGAAAATTCTTAACGCTTTGGATTCAAAGAAGACGGACTTTATTGATGCCCAAAATCAATTGATGTTGTATTTATGTATGTGTGATACGCATTTTCTCTTTACCCTAATTAATTATCTACTCATATTTATGTAGCCAATGAAGGTATTGTATGCCCCAGGCCAATAACAAATGTCAATGGTAAATATTTTTCCGTGGAGCACATAAATGGCGGTGATCATGTTGTACGCCTGTTGGAGTTTGTGCCTGGCAAAATGTTCCATGAAGTTGAAAAGTCAAATTATCTGCTATATAAAAGCGGTGAATATATAGCCAAGATTGATAGGGCATTGAAGGTATTTTTATATAACTACATAACTGTCTAACAATTATCTATTTAGTTAACTATATTTATTTTCACTATTTTCATTCTTTTAGAACTTCCACCATGAAGCATACGATACACATAAAACCTTATGGATGTTAGAGTCGGTGCCACAACTAAGAGAGTTCCTCTATGCACTAACGGATCATGATCGCAAAGCGCTTGTTGAAGAAATAATCGAAGCATTCGAAAAGAATGTACTAACTAAAGTTGATAAACTGGAAAAACAAATAATACACGGTGATTTTAATGAACAAAATATCATAGTTGAGGAATCAAAAACGTCCTCTAATGGCGAATACAAAGTAAAGGCCGTTATTGACTTTGGTGATACAAACAATTCGCCTGTGATTTTCGAGATCGGTATTGCTTTAACCTATATGATACTACAGGCGAAATCCATAGAAAGTGGTGGTTACTTCCTTGCTGGCTATATGGATATACGTGCAATAAGCAATGAAGAGCGTATACTGCTCAAGTATTGTGTTGCAGCACGTTTAGCACAAAGTCTCGTTATGGGCGCATATACGCACTCCTTAGATCCATCTAATGAATATGTGTTGGTAACGCAAGAAGAAGGTTGGAAAATGATTGAAGAGTTATGGCGCAATCGCTTTGCGGAAATCGATGAATTGTGGCAAACAACCGCTGATAAATATCTGACACAAAGTGTTAAATGATGCGATCGTAAAGCGAGAAGGAGCAAAAGTATTCAAATTAAAGTGTAAAAAAGCCAATTTATGAAAGAGTAGCTTTTTGTCAATTATTAAAGTCAATCTATAATATGAGTTTTAAATGCAACATGTGTTTGTACGTATATTGAAAAATGTTAACAAAATAAATAAAGATGTAAAAATTAATACGTATAACGGAAAAACAGCTTGTCTATTTTATGTTAGCTATAGCTTTGCTCTCCCCACAAACATGATAAATTTAAATCAGTCGAATGAAAATGAAATCCCAAAGAAATGTTTAATGCATACTAGCTACTTGTGATTCTCCCCTGCAAAAAAAGACAATCTTATAAAGTGCATAAACACTATTGATTTATTTTTAAAGTACATTCAAACCATAAGAAAATACAATTTAAAAAAATAAATATAAACAAAAATAAAATGTATGTATTTTTTGTACACTTCAAATATAAGATTTTTAAAAATAAAAATATTAAATACATTAAATTTTTTGGTGTTCAACGTCAGCATGGTTTAAGCTACAAATATATGTATACATACATACATAGTTTGCGCGAATCGGATTCACTAAGATTGCAGGAATTACTATTTTCTACTTTTTCACATTTTATACACATACATATATATTTATATAGTCATAATATTTATACTAACTTGAGCGCGATCATACTAAATTTTTTTTTTAATTTTCAATTTATTTTGGTTTTGTTGTAATTAATCGTTTTTTTTTTTTTTGCTAAATATATACAAGTAAATTTTCATTTATGTGCTTATAGATCAACATGTTTTTTTCTGCGCTATATGCGTATATGCGTAATTTTTATTCATTTTTGAAAAAATAACGGTAAATATATATGTATATTTAATAATTTAACTATATACAGAAATATTACTATGTTTTACGCTTATGTTGTTTTCTTAAGATATTGTTTGGTATTCGATTTTTTTCTGAAAATAATAAATTTTGCACATTTCTTTAAATTTCGATATCAACATTAAAATAAACTTGTAAAATAAAGCAATAATTTTTTACTAAATTTTTCTTCAACTAGTATTGTCGAAAATTGAGATTTCCAATTCGCTTACAATAGTATATAATGGCGAAAAAGTTGAAGGCAATTTATTATAAGTATAATATTTTATGCATACGTGTATGTATACAATATGTGCCGCGGAAGCGTTTGTCTAATGCAATTTAGGCTAAAAAAAATTTTAAGTATAATTGTAATTTGTGAAATAAATACTTTTTAATACGATTTTTAATTTTTTTAAATTATTAAATTCCTTTCTGCTATTTGATTTTAATTTAAGCATTTTAAGTTGTTACTCTTTTTACTCGCTATATTTACTACTTTTATTATAGTGTCTCTTTCTTTAAAAGTTTTTATTTTAATTCCTTGGATTTATTTTCTTTTTTTTAATTAATTTTTTTTCGACTTTTTATTTGAATCCACATAACTTCATTTTATTAATTCAATATATTTGTTAAGGGTCACATATTGTATACACACTAAAAATTAATAAGTAACACAAATAGCTAAAGAAAAGTTTTTTATAGGCTAAATCTTTTCCTTATTTGTATACAATTTATATACTATAAAAATTGAAGGCTACTTTTCGACTACATTTATGTATTTATATATGTAAGGTCTAATCTCGAAAATGTCATGCTAAATTTTATATTGTAAAATCATTTCATAAGACTTTTTAGGTTATCACTAAATTATATTTATTTCTTTGCAAACTGAAGACAATCCGAATTTCGCCACACTTTTAATTAAAGAGACACTCCTAAAATTATCGAATCAAAAATTTTGGTATTCAAAGAAAAACTAATAATCCACGATATTTGTAAAAAAAAAACTTCATTCTTTCATGTATCACATACATCCATTTTATAATTAAAATATTCCGAACTAATGTTGCTTTCAGGTCATAAAAATAGCTGTTAAAAATAGCAAGATTCATTTATTTTTTAATTAATTTCATTGCTTTACATTCAAGTTACATGGACAATATACAGATTTTATGTAATAATTTCCAAGTACGCACAACAAAGCCTTAAACTTTGAAATAAATACACACATACCCGGATATGTATGTATATGCATAATTTATCTCTAATAAACCATTATGCGCAAACAAAAAATCCTAACTTCAAAGTTAAATATTATGTGACTTTACAATATTTTACTAAGGCCATTCGGCACAGCCAAATTAAAAAAAATATATAAAATAAATAAATAAAAAACCAAATAAAATTGTTTCATAAATCAAAAATCATAGCATTAAAATATAAAATTTGCATTGACTTACAGAAATTTAACAATAAATTCAATCATTTCAACTTTTTTGAGACCAATAATAGTTTCCTATGTAATTTCGGAACTTTTCCAACATATTAGTATACAAAGAACTGAAAGCGGCGCTGAAGCTAAACTACTTTGGCGTTTCATCGGCTGTGCCACCCTCAGTCGCTGAAACGACAGCTATTGGCAAGTTGGGATTCGCAGACGCAGTTATTGAAGTTGTTACCTCTGTTGATGATGCTTGTGATGTTACCACTGTAGGTTCAGGCGTAACAGTCGTCGATGTAGTCGCAGGCGTTGCAGCTGTAGCGACTGCTGCAGCTGCTGCCGCCGCTCTGCGCAACGCACCGCGCTGACGTGCTGTTAGCGCACCACCAGTGGCAGCCGTAGTACCGCTTTGTTGCCGTTTGCGTTTCTTAACAAAAACAAATGTTGAATTCATAAGCTGTTGTTGGCCTTGCGCTGAAGATGTGTTTACTGTATTTTGTGCCAAAACAACAGAGCCAGTTGTTGATGAACCTGGTAAGCGTGCGGTAATAGATAATGTGTCCAACCACGGTAAGTCAAATTCGTTTAGAACATTCAATTTGGGTACAAGTTCACCAAATGCTTGTACGGGTAGATCGCTGGTAAAGCATATAGTCTGTATTGTATCGGGTTGTGGGTAGAAACTCAAGAGTGGTTGTTGTTCCGGTGGAACTTGTATTTCATCTTTACAATGGCGTCGCTTTAATTTTTCGATACGTCGCTGTTCCCGTATTTGTTGTACATCCCATTTTTTGCGTCGCTTCTCGGCTAATTCTAATTTTTCATGGCGCTTAAGGAAAGTTTCGTCTGAAAGATTTTCGGTACCCTCAATACAATAAGATACGGCAAGTTCATGCTCCGTCCATTTAGGTATTTCCAGCATTGGCGCATCGGCATGGAGCGCTTCGGCTTCTTCCTTCATGAACTCATAACCATCGGCTACAACCTCTTCATCTTCCCACGCGCGTGTGCAATACATTTGTGGTGTGGATATGTACGCACAACGCCTTGGTTTATTTTGACGGGGTTGCGGCTGCGTTTGTGAACTGCTGCGCAGCGTATGTTGTGCTCTTGTGCTACCTTTTGGTTTTTTAGTTTGATTTTCAATTTTAGGTGAAGCTGGTGACGCACCCATAGAACGCTAAAAAAAATTAACAAATATATACCTAAAATAGTATACAACATTGTTAAATACATTAACATACCTGATCAGATAGTTCGCCAAGCGACTCACAACTTGCCGATTCATCGGATTGTAAATCTGGTGCATGCCAAAGCATTAATGGCATTTGTTTGCCACGACTTGGCGTTGGTGGCGTAACACACACTTGCGTTGTCGTCGCCGTGGTTGTTGTTGCGGTGGTAGAGACCAAAGGGGGCATAGTAGTCAGAGCAGTAGTTGTTGTTTGCGGCTTCGCTGTTTTCACCGGTGCGGCTGAAGACGCTACTGGCATTTGCCGTATGGGCTTAGCGCCTCGCGTCACTTGCACGGGTGATATTCTGCGTTGTGCATGCATTGGTTTGGAATGTACGGACTCCACCACGTCGTTACTATCTTCAGTAGTGTTGCCCGTAGTCTCGCCGGTCTCTTCCATATCAGCATCATCTTCCTCACCATCGTCATCATTGTCATCTTGGTCGGCATTTGTTTTGCTAGTCGCGCTATCATCCGCTTCGGACGTGGTATCGGAAGTACCGGTCGTTGTCGAATTAGGACTATGTTCTGGCAGACTAACTCGGTGCAAAATTATTTTACTTATAAGTTTACCATTGCATTCGCCAATGATATTTTGTCCTGAAGAATTTGTCACTGTTGCTGCGGTGGCAGGCGATACAACATTAGTTAATATCGGTTCTGTTTTGCGTTGTATCTTCGCCAGAGGAGGTGGCGACAACGCAGTTCGCTTTATATGTCGCTGCAGTTGTTTTTGTAAATCAAGCACTTGTGTTTCCAATTGTTGATTTTTAGTACGTAAGCCATCAAGTTCTTCGTTTTGAGAAGCAAGTTGTTTGTCTTTCACTTGAAGTTGGTCACTTTGTGCTTGTATTAAATCCAAATGTAAAATCAACATTGCTCGAAGCTGTTTATTTTCTTTCAAAAGCGCCAGGTAGTCTGCATTCGCTGCTGAGGCAGCACCGCCGCCACCCCCCGCATTGTTGTTGGCGCGAATATAGTTTTTACTTTCGGTTGGATGACAATAAACATGATCCATGTATTTGCTATTCGTATTCGGTGTTTTGTTACACTTGTTTTCCATTGTTATTGGTTGCGAAATAAATTTTATTTATTTACACGTTGGATATTGTTATTTTTGCAACTGACGTCCCTTTTCTTTATCTGCACCTTCATAACACCACGCGTTTTGAAGATTTTTGTTTTTAAAATTTTTTCCAATCCCTTTTTGTACTAGTTTCGTCTTCTCAAACCCACCATCAAGCAGAAACGAAATGCGTAATTTCGCCAAATTTTCAACACACTGCAAATTTTTCACTTTTATTGCTTTTCATCATAAACTAAATAAACAAATAAATGGGGAAATATTGCTTCCTACTACAAGAAATGATAATCTTCCGATTATGCGTTGTTTGAGATATGTAATTTACTATTTGACAATGAAATTTGTGTTTTTTTCTTGCTATATTTTTAATTGGGAATTACACACGAAAACTTGACGCAGCAAACGCGACAATATTTTTATTTTTGGCATCACGCTTTTGTCCACCACCGGCTGCGCATGTATGAACTTATGTTGGCTATACTGTAATTAGTTGCCAGATAATTGAATGATAGCAATTATTTATCGCAAGAAATTAATCTTATGCTGACGGAAACTTGTTAATGCTGTAACCGTATAAGTACTCCCAAATGTTGTAAAATTGTGCGGAATTGAGAGCCGTATCGTTCCAGTGTAAGGACGAAGCTTATTCTTGTAGTGGATATCTTAACTCGCTTAGGAGCAGACGAGATTATTCTAAGTAACCGAAGGTCGAGGAATCGAACTGTTGGATTCGGAAAAGAAGGAAAGGCAACTAGATGAATATTTGTAAGAGCCGCAACAAAATCCTCAAAGCGTTAGCCGGCAGCATTTGGGGAAAATATTACCTGCGGTGGCTAAAATCCAATAGTTCCCGAGACAGACGGATCTTTATAACAGAACGACACCGATTTTGATCCGGCAAAGGACTGTCACTCCTGCAACATTCTTCAAAAAGTACTTTGGGGAATATTTTTGCGGTTGCAACAGCAACAACAACATAAAGAAACTCTGCAGGCAACGTACGAAGCAATTGTCTGGCCGGTTGTAAGCTACGAAGGACCGATCTGGCCAACTAGGACATATCAAACGCAGTTGAAGTAAATAATTTCTTATTTCAAAGACAGACATTTGTTAGAGGCAGAGCGACCATTCTGGCACATAAGAACGGGAGTACTTGTGCAACAACCGCTGTACAGAAAGGCTTACAGAGAGGCACTTGACGCCATTCACCAAGAGCCAGTTACCACCTTCAAGAACTCTCTAACGGTGAATGCCGTCCTTGGAGTCAAACCACCACCCATAGGAGATGTCTGGAGAGCTGTCTCGAGAGTTCCGCGTAAAACTGGTGCAAGTTAGGTTTGTATATTATAGCATGTTAAAGTCTTAGTTATCCAGAATCGATACCGACTTATCTAGCTTATGTCCCGCATGTAACGAGTCCCCACACTACATTAACCATCTTTTTGCACGCCCCTGAATCAAATCATCTAACTCCCTCTCCCTCTGGTCTGAACCTGTCAAAATAGCTCGTTTTCTGAAATTCTCGTTAGATAATCTCTATGACTTAGATTAACTATCCCGTTCCTACTACCCAAACAAAAACAACAGCAGTTTTATGAATCATTGGATGCTGAAAAAACGTTGGGAAAGTCGAGGTCAAATCTGGATAAATAGGAATTAAGTCGTCTACAATATCCATAACTTAATTGTGCCAATATTGTTCTGACCTCTTCGTCTCCAATGAGGGCTTAGTGATTCTGCGAATTATGCGGAATGACGATGATGATGATATCGATGAATTTATTGCTTGATTTTCTAGCACATTTGTCTCCTTGTATTTGATTAGAAGATAGTATGGTGTATTTCATATGTCAAATGTCGGTTGTTGTTTTTGGCGCTTTTCTTGCTTAACTATTTAAAATATTAATTAATAATAAATAAAAGTAACTATGTCCTCCATATACGGTGATGATGTCGTTGAAGATATGCTTAACGGCAATTTACATGAATTACCAAGCGATGACGAAAATGAGCGAAATGGTAGAGAAGACCTGTTTGGTGATGAAGTTGAAGGTGGTGATAATGCGGATAGTGGTCATCAAGGAGTGAAAGTGGAACCGAAAAAGCGTTCAGTGCGTAATCCACGACCCAAATTATCCTTAGACATTTTGACCGGACCACGAGGTATACACACTATCGAAGATTATTTCAAAGATATCAGTTACAAAGGAAAAGGACACGAAAAGCGTGATCTGGACGAAGTGATGCGTCGCATGACCCATTGGGCACATCGTATGTACCCCAATTATAAATTTGAAGATGTTTTGACAAATATCGAACGTATTGGCAAAAAGAAATCACTACAAGTGCATATGTCACGTTATCGCCTTGGCATGTTGGATAATTTAAAAGCAACCGGCGGCGATATGCAAGAGGACGAAGATGATGGCGCTATGGGTGAAGTAGCAGATGAGCCATTCGATGAGTTCGACGCATTGTTAGGTGAACAAATTGCCATATCCAAAATAGCGCCTCGTACGCCGGGACATTATAGTAATAATGGTGATGCTACATTTACTGGCGCCAGCACCAGTACTTTGGCAACACCCTCATTCAATCGCGGTAATGCAGCTATGTCCACACCATATACCAACAAAGCACGAACAGGATGTAAAATAAATGATAGCGACTTGGCGCACCCTCTGCCACCTTCAGAGCCTGCTTCTCCAGCACCAGCGCCGAAATTAACTTCTGAACAAATGGCACGAATAGCAGAAAATCGACGTATTGCCTTGGAGCGACTCAAAGCGAAGAAGGACCGTTTAATGCGGCAACAAGAACAAAACATAGTTAAAAATAGTATAATGGAAAGCCAAGAGGAAACGTGAAATTTCGACGTAATTGTAAGTTTCAAGTTTCACATTTTAAGTTCTGTAGGATCTGTAAACATAAAAATTCGACTTGTATAATTTTTTAAAAACAATATTTATTCAAAGATTTCAATAAAAATCAAATCACAAATTAATGTGCTCCTTAAAATGTTAAAGTTAAGGAATTTCAATATGTATGGTTACACAAGCTTCTTAATGCTTTATTTGAGCGAATATTTGCCTATTCGGATTAAATGTCTAATTCGATAAGCTCATAGAGATTACAACATATGTATGTATATGCTACTATGACACTGGGTTTATAAACGGAATATGTATTTCGTATTTGTATTTTGGCCATGCCAAAGAGCTGAAATACAAACTTACATTCTAAAACTATGAATACATATTATATTACAAAATTATTGTCAAGTCTATAAATTGAATGTGTGTATGAGTAATAATTTAGAATTGTGAGTGAAAAATCTGCGTGATTTTAAGTACAAAAGACCTTTTGAAAGAAATGACTGCCAATCTCAATCACAATGACATGAGTTCAGCTATAATCAAATTTACATAAGCTATAAAATTTTGTTATGTATAAAATACTTAAAAGTAGCTTAAAATTTGCACTTCATTACTGCGTTTTGCAATAGGTGTAAAAAAAAAACAAATCAGTACATTCTTTAATCGCGTTTTGACTGCTCACAATGCGCATTGGGAAAATTTATGGATATTTGTGGCACTGCTGCGAAAATACTGCGCACTTTATCCACTAAACTGCCGCTCGCTGGTGTTTTGATTGCTTCAACCTTGAATTTCGTACCCGGTAATTCTACCTTTTCAGTTGGCCCCTCAACCTCTTGCAATGAATCTTCAATCACCTTTAGGACACGCTGATAAAGGAATGACTGACGGAATATTGGCTTGGACAGACTAAGATGATCATCTTTTAGCACGTAGAAGTCACCATAATCAATGCGGGCGGAATCTTCTGTAACAATGCGTAGTGGAAATTTGAAGGATGTTAGCATTGTGGGTGCACCTTCGGCAATGGTCACCACTTTTACATTGCGGAAACATGTGTTGAGGCAATCCATGAAGCGATTGTGCATTGCAATTAATTTTGGTGCTCCTTCTTCCATCTCTTTCACTTCAATGGAAGGGGAGAGTATCATTTGCATGTGTTGCTTCCATTTAGCAATAGATGAGCCCCGATGCGGTGTACCAAGGAACAATATAGAGGAAGTGCTTTTTGCTATTTGATTTACTTTTGGATCGGGATCATCGATGGCCTTCATTAACATTAGTTTAGTGAGTATGCCGCCCATGGAATGACCAATCCAAACAACGGGCCGTTCATTACCGATATCTGATTTGGAAAGTCGATCAAGTAAGGATGTAGCGCGTACATCGATTTGACCTTGACCCTTCTCGCAGGGACAGTATTTTGTGAAGTTTGCTGACCATTCAGTGACCGCCGAGGTGTAGTCAATGCCGATGATTCTGTAATAAAAGAGGTTATATTAATTGTGCGTCCTAAGCGACTTTTTACCGGTACTACCAACCTAGTATTTGGATAATCATCTGGCAGCCACTCCATTGGCCAACAGTTGGTGTAATCTTCACAGTTATCCTGATTTTGCCACTCATTACCAGGTACGCTGAATTCGCCGCAGCAATTTTCGCCCGCCTTTAGTGGTACGTCTGGATGTACAACTTCCCAATCGGATTCGAGCTCGGCAGTATTTTGCAATGCTTCCACAAGTTCCAATGTCGCTGTGTCGCTAATGCCCAATGTTTTATTTTTCTCTTTTTTAGCGGCTTTGAGTATGGGATCTGTAAGAGTAGGGAAAACCGTTATAAATATAACACAAATATATATTAAACGTACAAAATGACCTACCAGTCATTTTTTCCTTTTTCACAGTATTGTTTGTAGCGCCATTTCCGTTTTTACCATTATTGGCATTATTGTTATTATTTACATTTTTGAAAATTCCACTATTACCACGCCTCTGTTCGCCCACCAGAAACACATCATCGGTTTCGCTTGTGTAAAATGCATTCTTGCCATACAAACCCAATTCGGTGGGATTTCGATCCTTCTGACGCCACGTTATGAAGACACCACCCAAGAGGCCATGTATGAATATAATATCAGCCTTCGGCTTAGCACGTGTGCGCAAACGTGGATGTAACGGATAGACATTGGGGGGATATTCAACGCGATTGGGATCATCATGATCCAGATTGGCCATCGTTTTAGCAGAAATCACTTGTAAACGTAAATCTGGACATTTCATCCACTCGGCTAAGGCGCCAATCCAGCCCGATGCAAAGAAATGCTCCACACTAGTATCAACGAGTGAAATATTTGCCATAACTTTGCATAGTGTAGACAAAGTTTCATTATCATCTGCGAAAATTTTACGCAATTCCATAAGATGTGTCAGACCACCCTCGTTGAGAATTTGTTTTGCCACCGCCTCTTCTTTTGTTATATGATGCAGGAAGGCAATAATTTCCTTCAACATATCAGTGTCCTGTGAAGAAAGCGAACTGGCTTGATCTTGCGTAAAGAATTCATCGATGCCTTCATGTGGATACTGTTGGGGAAAGTATTTGTTGAAAAAGTTATCGACACATGAGTTTGGACGCAGACGTGCGAGCATATCATGAAAGTCAGCGAGCACAAGTTTGGGATTCTTAATGCAACCACGCATATGTACAGGAACGAACCAACGTGAATCTGCGCCGGAACGTGCTAAAGAGATGGCTGTGCGCGCATCGCATATCTGTGCCAAATGGCGGAAGTCCCAATCTTTCAAATGATCAATACAGGCTAATTGGCGCACGGCCTTGAGACGGTCATGTTGTGAACCAGTTTGTGCAATATTCAGCAAACGCCAGGCTACCGAGTGTTTAATCGACTTCCACCATTTTCCAATCGGATTGATAATAACGCTGACCCATTTCTGTAAGAGAAAGTGGAGGTTTAATATTATGCTCAAATATGTATTATATTTTTTTTTCTATTTTCTGATTAACATTTTTGTTTTTTTATAAAACTAAGAAGGTTTCTATGAATAATTCGGTATTCAATACCTTTTCATCCTCTTCCTTTTGTTTCAGTTTACGCATTGACTCCTTATAGATATGGTATTTAATGTATATGTAATCTGGACGCTTTTTATCAGTATCTGACGGTGCGGTATTAACCCATTTGGACAAATAGTTTCGTATTCTTTGTTTTTCAAGCAAAATTAAACCACAACTGAAAAAATAATAACAAATAAATAAAATATAGAAATTTTGAAAAAATTTCTTTTAAATTATTTATTTCTTAATTGAATCTTATATTCGAAAAATATGTATGCACATATGTAATGTCTCTTAACAATACAAACATATAACGTTTATCATAAATTATTGTATTTAGATTTCTTAATGAATGAGATTTCTTATCAGCTCAGATGAACTACAAATACATGGAAGGTAGAAATGTACCTATTTATATGAAGTGTTATTAGTTTAGTATTTTTTCCGTTAGTTTTATTTTAATTTTATTTTTTCTAGATAGAGCCACACGTGCTATTTGTTTGCGAAATCGTGAGCATTTTTTAAATATATGCACATATGTACATGCATGTATCTGTACCATTTAATTTAGAATTTTGTTTAGCGATAAACAACAGTACACCACTACATATTAAAAATAATTGGACCTCGTCTGCCTAATAAGCAACAGTACCAAGCTTGCTTGTCTTTCTTTTTTTTTTGCCGTTTTTATTCGTAGGCACATATGTATATACATATGTATGAATCTATGTAAGTTAGTGTTTTGGCTCAATTCCCACTATACATAAGTACATACATATATAAATGTCTGCATTTTTTTTTCAATTTGATAAGTTTAAACCAACCAAATGTGTACGCGTCATTGGCAGGTAAATGGCACGATACCCAAAGTCAAAACAACTTCTTTGGATCGTGCTTTGCTTTACTACTTCTGTCTCATTTTAACAAAATCGCGTGTTTACTTTACTTATGTGTTTGTTTTATTATTATGATTTTTCGTTAGCCTTGTTTATTTTTTGTTTTATTTTATTTTTTCCTTTTTTACTTCAATTCATGGGTACACCGTTCAACTCTTCTAAAACAAGTTTTGCTTTCGTTCCAGCAGCTGTTGCAGTAGTTTTATTTCTTATAAATGTTTTATCATAATTACCAAACAAATTACCCATATAGTAAACTGTCATTAGCCACTTGCAAGCGCATATTTTGTTTTTGTTTCCAATTTCAGTGCTGTCATTTTTGTTTATTGTTATGTTCCGTTATCCATTCCGATTGTCCAATTGGATGTAAACAAGTTTGTTTACATTTACAATTGCGCCGGTGCATTTGCTAATCGCAAACAAAAACAAACAACAACACATCGTTTTGACGTAATAGAAGTTGAATGCAACAATGTGTACCAGGAGGGTTGCTCGGCGCGAGATTTTTCGGCAAATGCATCATTTGTTTAAATTTACAATGGGATGCATGATCTAATGCAGGTAGGTAAGTGTACATATGTATGTAGGTTTGCATGTATATATGTAATTTTAAATATATATATATTTAAATATTAAATGCAGCTACGACACACTTTTTTTTCAAATATACATATACATATGTACATATGTACTATCGCAACAGATCATACGATAAAATTGGCCAATACTGACGAAGGAAAGAGATAGAATTCATGTTGTTATTCATCAGTATTTATTTATTTAGGCGCTAACAACGCGGAAATGCTTAATCCGAATATAAATAAGTTTTCGTGGTGCGTATTTTTGATAACAGTCGATAGGCTAAAGTAATGTAAATTGAATACACAAATGTGTGAATGTTTTAATATTATTTATAATGACATAATTACAGAGCTACATCTGCAACTTGTTTTTGTTCTTTATGAGCGAGCATATACGTACATACATATCTTTATATCTCCACTCAATTCATCCATTATAGTATACATTGTATGTGTGTATTTCTTTTTATTAAAAATATGAAGTGGGTGTGTTTTTACAACTATGTACAGTAAAAACAAAAACAAATATAAAAATATCTGCATTTATGTAGTACTTGATACAGGCGAGCCCCCAAAACTTGTTTTTCTCAATGTGTAAACAACTAATAGTCATAGTGAGTAGTTGTTTAAAGGCATACATACATACATATATAGTACATATGTACAAGAATATATATGCATATAAGCATATAACTAAATATTTATATATTTAAATAGAATATGCACAAATATTTTTGAATAGTGTGTTTTTTACATACATAAAAACTTTCTATGTAGCGTTTGTCGTGAATTAGGGGTGCCATTTTTGTCGCCTCACTTACGTCAACACTATCGGATGATCTGACTGATGATTAATAGGGTGTAATTGTACTTTAATTTTATTTTTCAAGCGTTTGTTGTTTTCTCATTACAACAAATAAATATAAATGTATATGAACATTCCTATATGTAAGTAATAACACTTAAAATAAAAAAATTTTGTGTGATTTTGTTTTTTGACTAACAGAATACTTAAATAGTTGATTAATCATTTACTTATTATTGTATATATTTTATTAAAGAAATTGATAGATACTTACGTTGTTAGGATGCCAACTCCACCCACAGTTTTTGGGTAACGCCTTAGTGTATTTGTAAAACCGCCTAGCGCTACTTTTGACATGGTATTTTTTGCAAAAGTAAGTTCCTTTAGATGAAGGTATTTGCAGTTACTCGATAACGTCAGGAATTTGATATAGAAATATACTTCTATAATTACTAATCACTTTTTGGTAATTGCCAATTGTAAATATTTCGATGAATATTTCACGGATAGTACTTCACAGGAACACGCGTAAAAAACGCCTGATTTTCTATACTATGTTGAGACTTTTGTATGTTTGAAATGTTTGTGCACGGCTAAAGAAAATCACCAGTTGGACGATGACACCTCCGCTGGTGTAGTGGGTGAACGGCGATTCGCGCAGTGAAGCAATGCTAAACACGTCAGCGCTTTCTTTGTAGTTTATTCACACTATACGTTTTATTCTTCTTTTCACCGTCAAATGAAGTATTTATTTTAAAAATATAAGCCAAAGTCTTTATAATCGGCTATTTTTTATTTAAGATTAAAGATAAAACAATTTCTTCACAAAGCGAAACTATATTACGCTTTTGGTAAACGCGTATGTTTGTAAGTATATTCTAGTCTTTTCAGGTTTTCGATTGGAAACTTCCAATTAGTTTTCTTTTACTTCACTGCATTTGTAACGCCATATTTATTTAACACTTCATCTTTACTAATATCATTTATTTAATCTTTAATAATTTTATTAGCATATTCTTCTTTATTGTGGTAATTTTCTTTTAGTTGATTATTGAACTTATCACTGCAAATTTCTATTGTTGAATGAGTCGGACAGCGAACCACAACATCTAGAAATACTAAATTTTGTCCGTAAGTCAAGTGTGTTGTTCTTGTAGTTGTTGGAATTTTGTTTTTTCACCCCTTCATATATTTGTTTTTATCACCAGTTTTGTTTTCAACGGTAATTTCTTTGCCATATGTTTTTATTGTTTTTGTACGTTTGTTATTTTTATCTTGCTGTAAAAAGAAAACCAAGAAAACAAATTTCGAAGATATAAAGCTGAGAATTGGCAAATATGAATGAACGACGGGTTGCAGTGTAAAATTTTTAAAATTCGTTTTAAGAGTTGCGTGGACTAACAGTACTATTAGTCATTGTAATTTTTTCAAATTGAAAATTGGAGTTTTGTAACTGCTGAAGCGATTTTCGGCCGAGCTCCTCCTCTATTTTGTGGTTTAGCGTTTTGATGATTTTCCAACAAATGGAGGGACCTACAGTTTATATTGCGCCGCCTCCAAACGGCTAATATTATTATCGAGGAACCTTTATTTCATGTCCAAAATACCCGCGGAGAGTGGACATTCCCTGTCGAGGGTCAACCGCTTTTTTCTTAGAAGAAGCTCCGGAAAAATGGGATAGTGTCGTGTGGCGACGTTCGTTTTTATACATCGTTTAAATTCCCGTCTGCTCGTCTTGAAATTTTAATTTCTAAATAACATACAAATGTTGATAAATTTGAGTTACAGTTAGAAGTAGTATTATTGTAATGCGTATTTACTAATTTGTTTTATTTATTTATTAAAGCTTACATAACAAAAACTTATATAAACTTTGATTTGCAACGCTAACAACATCGTCGGCTGTTACAAAAAATTAATCCTTTTAGTGCCTGTAAAGTACTTTTTTCGCCATACACTATTTTAATTCCTCATAATCGCCCGGTATTTTTGAATTTCTTCATTTTCTTTAATCAGCTGTTGGCAGACGTCAAGCGATTGTGGCGAAAGTTGAATTAAGAGAAAACTCGAATTTGCTTGCAAAAAAAATCTTTTCTGTTGTTTTCTTTTGCTCAATCACAATATTTTCATCCTCATCCGAAGCAAAAATATTTACAAATTGCTTACCTACGTATTATTTTTTGGCGGGTACTTAGGAGAGAAATACGTGCAAACAACATACATGTGAGAGTTTAGAAAGCAGACAATGTTTATTTCTTGATTACAAAATCGCAATTCAATTGCAAAATAGGCGTAAACAACAACAATTACAACAGCAGTAGAGCAATAATTTTTTATAATTTGCTTACGAAGCGCGTGATATAAGCAAGGCTTGTATTTGCGCTAGAATCATAATATGCCAGATAATTTGATTAGTCATGCAAAATATGCTGCAAGCTCGCCACCAAAAATGAATGTGAGTGGTGCATCTTTCGGGGGAAGCACTTTTTGGCAACGTAGAGAAGACATATTTAAGCGTCTACAACAGAGTGCAGAAATATGCAGACTTAAGTTTAGTGGACGCAAAGAATTAGCAACAGAAAAGGATGATAATGTGGCAGAATTATGTGAGGCTTTAGAAGATGCATTCGCATATGGTTTAAAACAACAGCATTCCGTGGTAACCATCACTGCGGCAAGTATATTTCAGAATATGCACGAAATAGTTACAGGTGAGAGATTAATGATTTGTAGGAGTATAAAATGAAATTGTTTTCTGTCTTTGTATGTGTAATTCCAGGTAATAGCTCCGGTATAAACGACAACAGTAGTGACGTAACCTTTTGGGATTTCTGTCGAGTACATTTAACCACACACGAACGAGAACGTTTCGAGCAACTTAAACATGTATGGACAAAATGTGGGCTCGGCAGAGCGTTCATACGCGCCACCTTAAATGAAAACTCTCTGCAACGTTATTTGCTAACATGGTTAGCTGAGGAAGATACTTTGCGTCGCCACTATACGCAGTGGTCACTTCTGCTGGATACCAACGCTAGTAAGGAGCTGCCACAAATAATAGGCTCATTACATGATGTGCTTTTCGCGTTGACTCTGAATTCTACAGAATTAAATGCACCAACGCGTATAACTCCACTACAACCGAACAAAGAAGAACCTGTAATATATGCGCCTACACCAGTACCTGCTGCTGGCAGCAAAAGCAAACGCCGAACGCAGCCAGTAGAACGTCCGATTGCCACGGCGAATTCCACGGAGGATTTAATAAACGCAATCAAAGAGGTTACTAAAGTGATTGAAGAAAATACACCTGTCGATATATTTGAGGCTATGGTAGAGCTACCAATGCAAGATGAAATGGAAACAACTCCACCAGATCCTATAGAACCGGAATTGGCATTTCTTAAAGAACCTCTACCCGATATATATCCTCAACCGGAAGCAAAGAATGTGGAGCAGTCTTCTACGAAGGAAAACCCTTCCGGCGTAAATCAGTATTGTAACGGTGATAAAATCTCCACTACCTCAATGAGTGAGCAAGAGTATGAGGATAAGAGTGACAGTTCTTCACAGTATAGCAAATCATCATCCGCAAATTGCACTGCTAATCATGCGGCCATGGAGGAGAGACTACGTGAAATGGAGGAACGCTGTACACTCTTAGAGACACGAGTGGCACAATTGACGCGAGAGAATCGACAACTTGTACGACGTTTAACACAAAACTTCAATGGGCTCGCCATCGACCCATCAGCTTCTTTGGCAACAAACTTTCTCATTACCATTCCAACGGCGGAACTAAAAAAGACAAAACACGGCACCTCCTACTACGCTTACGAAGTACACATTACGATGCGTCAAAACTTGGAGCATTGGGCGCTATGGCGTCGCTATCGTGATTTCCACAAACTACACAAATCGCTGCTTCGTACTCATCCTATCGTTTCGTCGGTAGAGTTTCCACCGAAAAAACACTTTGGTAATATGAATCTGGCATTTGTGGAGGAGCGTCGTCAGCAATTGCAGATTTACTTGTTGAATGTTGTGGAGATTTTGCCACAAGTAGAGGCTTGTAAGTCGAAGGCGGAGCTGCAAAAGATATTTCCGTTTCTGCGTGAGCGGTAACAGGATCAACATGTAGATATTGTAGAGTTTTCGCTCATTAGTATTAAATTGTTATGCCTTTTTGAAGTTGATTTGAAAACTGCGAGTTTCTTAACGTTTTTTTGTACCATGATGAACGGGTTTTTGTTGCACTTTTCAATATTATAAACATATTTATATCAAACAATTATACTCGATTAAATAAATAAGATTTAAACCCATACCTTACAATTTTACTGTATTTTTTTTTTTTTTTTTTGATAATTCCAACCATAAATGGTCAAATTCATGAATTTTCAACAGTAAGAAGTCTTAACCTCTAAGATTTGAAAAATGCAAACCTTTTCAACTCTGCCTCAGCCAACGAAAAATCAAAAACGAGTTGTTTCGACAGGATCGGACCCGGCGCGAGAGGGATGTTAGATGAGTTGGTTTAAGAGGACATGCAAAGAGGTGTTTAGTATCGTGCATAGTAATCTTAGGACAAATCAATGTGACGTAATTAACGATCACGTAGTCGATCGTTTTGAAAGTTTCTAACATCGTTTCCTTGTCTTTTCCCCAAGTGGAGCCGATTAGAGACTTCAAGATTTTTTACGACTTTTTACGTGACAACCGCGATTTTATGAATAGTAAACGAGTGTAGGCTGAATGTCATTTCCATTAAGCTTGGGTCATTAACAGTCGGTATTTCAAGGTTGTCGCCGTTTACATTCAGTTATCTGAGTCGGAACTCCTTCTTGGGTGGAAATCGCTGGTGATAGTTGTAAATTTCGCACAGTGTAGAAGAGGCAAAGATCGAAGGGTAAGAGTATGGTTTTAAACAGAGGTTATGCTATAAATATTCTGCCCAGATTCCGTTAACGGCATGTGAGATCGAGGATATGGAAACAGAAGACAGAGGACACCAACTTACGAAACGTTTTATGTAGTTCATGGTCCACCAGTTCAACGCAAGCTTTCATGAACTACCCTCAATGCTTAAAAGTAGATAGGGTGAAAGCTTTCGACAAGTTCACGGCTACCGCTGTAGGTTTGAAGAACTTACCAGTGATAAGGCATGCACGTCGTAAGAGGTGGCTAAAATCCAGGTCTTTATAACGGAGCAAAACAGATTTTTAACCGGTCAAGGGTCGTGACTTCAGCAGTATGGGCCGAATATTTTTGCGTCTACAACAACGACAACAAGTCCGATGCTACCAAAACACGCTGAGTGGTGGGTCGGCTTAGGTGAAGACGATAAGTTATCTGGGTGTTTTAGTGACGTTTAAAGCGGCGATCTTACTGCTGCGCTCAGGGGATTGGGAAATGTCTTTGCTACTGGTAAGAGGTGGGAATCGGGCGGTATGACAGAATTTTGATGGCGGGTTTCTCTGTTTTCTGCAGCGTTGGGAGATTAGTAAGAGACTGTTTGAGGATTTTTACCATGTCGTCGTGGTCGATGGACAGGAATAGAGCAAGGATAGCAAGTATAATCTTAATCAGATAGAGATATGTTAATATATATGTTAGAGCTCAAACAACCGTTAGAAAATTAATACATCTTTTGTGAATTAAATGTCAAAGTTCACCACATGCAACGATCTCTTTTTTTTCCAAGTGTAGCCAAATGAAACAGGACCAATTCACTTATACTTATACAAAAGATAGGCTACAAATCAATTTATTAAATTAATATTTTAATAAATGTTGACACATATATTTAAGTAGCGTTTAAAAAGTGCAATTACAAATGCAAAACAAATTTTTTTCTCCAGGAGACACATTAATAATAAATTAAACGGATTTTGTTTTTCTTAATTATAAGCAAACATTTTATGGAAGAGGAAGCATTTAGTTATTGTAGGTTTATGGTACATTATTTGTATGTGTATGTGTACATATATACATATGTATGTATAAAATAAATGATAAATATAACAGAGGGCGTAGAAGCTTACACTCATACATATTTGTATATGTACATACGTATAAATATATAACTGTGTTATATTTACTATTTGTATGAAATGAACAACAAAACAAATATTACTTAAATACATACAAATATACTACATATAACATTAATAGTAATTTGAAAAATATACAAACAACACAATTCAACATGCTTGTGCATGTGTGTGTGTGGGTTTTTTAAATTTATTTTTAACTAGAAATTGCAGCATTTAATGCTGCAAACAAAGAGCAAGAGTTGAAAACTTTGCTTTACACAACTACAAATTAAGTAAAAAACAAATACAACAAATTTCATTGCTAAACATACAAACAAACGAGTTTCTTATTCAATAGCTGTAGGTGTTTTAAAATATTTTACATGCTTTTTGTGCTGTTGTTGCTATAAAAATGTTGTGTTTTTTTTTATCATTAAAACCATTTGTTTTTATCTTTATAATTTTCTTTTGCCCATTTTGTATTATACTTTACAATATTTGTTATACTATTTTTGTTATTATTTTTTTTTACTTTCACTTTTACTTATTTTGGTTGTGTTGAGTTTTTATTTGTTTTGTGTTAATTTTCTACTCGTTAAGATGGGCATAGCTAGAAGGTACATATTCACCCTTTTGTTTAAAAAAAAACTTAAAATTTGCATTCCATTTTTGAGAAAAAATAATTATTTTTTAATAAAATCTGAATAAAAAAAAGACACAAAAAAAATGAAATAAAAATACATAATCTAAGCGTTAGAGTCCAGTAACTAAAAAAAACTCATACTGAAATAAATACAAAATTGAAACAATAAAAGAAAAGTTAAAAGCGCATAAAATTTAAAATTAATTAAAATTCACTTTTAAACATGCGAGTTAAAAATATGGAGAAATTAAAGTAATCTCATTTAAAAGTGTATTCAAATAAGTTTAAGCACAAGCAGTTGCAGGAAATTATTACGAAACTGAGATTGTATTAATTTGAGGTTATGTTGGCAAAAATTATTACGAAAAAATACATTTGAAACCATTTTAGCATTTTCATTACAAATGCTAGCCAATTAAATATTGAAATCAGAAATGCATATGAATACATATACAAATATCTAGCTAAATAAATATGTATGTGCTGCTAAAAAATAAAAAATATTTCTCTCAGAAGTAAAACTAAAGATTAATTCTTTTCATTATTGCCGTGTAAATGCATTTTTTTTAACATATCGGTTTTTAATTACTATATTTTCTTGGAAAACTTTTAAGTAAAGTCATAGACAATTTTATGGCCAAAGAAAACGTAACTTTTTTATGCTTCTTTTAATTTTTTTTTTAATTGAAATGATTTAGTGTACAATTTTAATTCATCGAACAAACTAATTGTTTATACTTCTGTTATTTTTATTATTATTTTATTACTATTGTTAATATCTTATTAATATTGTTTGCATTGTTCATGTAATTATAATAATAATATTTATTTTTATTACTATTTTTATTATTATGATTATTATTTTTATATTGTAATATTGTTTTAATTGTTTTTGTAGTTATTTCATTATTATTATTGTTATTGTTATTTTAATATTATTATTATTTTTTATTATTATAATTTTTTTATTATTATTATTTTTTTATTATTATTATTTTTTTATTATTATTTTTTATTATTATTATTTTTTTTTTATTATTTTTTTTTTATTATTATTATTTTTTTATTATTATTATTTTTTTATTATTATTATTTTTTTATTATTATTTTTTTTATTATTATTTTTTTTTATTATTATTTTTTTTTTATTATTATTTATTTATTTTTATTTTTGTTATTTTNATTATTATTATTATTTTTATTATTATTATTATTATTATTATTATTATTATTATTAATTATTATTATTATTATTATTATTATTATTATTATTATTATTATTATTATTATTAATTATTATTATTATTATTATTATTATTATTATTATTATTATTATTATTATTATTTATTATTATTATTATTTATTATTATTATCTTTTATTATTTTTCTTATGATTATTAGTAAGCATTTAATTATTATTTCAAAAAATTAGAAAAAAACTAGTATTCTAATTTTAATTTTAAAATCAAAATTGTTTTCATGCTTGCATTTTATAAATGGAATTAGATACAAATTTTATTAATTTTTCCTAAAATTACTATTTATTTTTTTTTGAAAATACAACTACGCATTGAAAAATGGTGAAAACTTTCTTCAAACAAATTTCTAATAATTTAAACAATGCTTTAATTTGCAAAGAAAATTATATATAATTTGGTAATTTAATGTTTTTCCCAAAATGTCTCAATAGATATGTAAATACACACATATTATACAGCGTGCCATAAAAAGGTATTATGCTTAGATATAATAATAAATATATATATGTATATGCATATATACTTAATAAGTAAGTCTACTGAAATACGTTTTTAATATATGTCCGCACGTTTGTATGTAGTTACATGACGATTGCGTATTCTGTTGTAAGAAAACGAATTTGTGCTTATTTCTTTTTCTTCTTCTTCTAATTAGTTTTAAATATTTATTATTCGTTAGACTCAATAAACATTATTTATACTAAAAAATTACATTATTTGTTATATATATGTATAGTTAAGTTTGGTGTTTTTACATGTTTATTACTTTACAACTATTTTCGAAATTAGTATCATAGTTATTATTTAAATACATATATACAGTAAATATTTGTGCTTTTTTAACACATAAATAATAGGATAATGAAAAAAAATTTACTTTTGTTTTCATAAAGAATGTGGGGAATAGAATGCCATAAACCCAGTTTAAAGAAAATAATTAAAAATATATAGTATGTATCAATATTTATTATAATTTATTACAAAATATATACCAATTTTCTAGCAAATATTTCTTCGGAAATTTTACATATTTAAATATTTCTTTCGGTTTAATTATAAAGCAAAAAAATTTTTTTTTCGATGCTCAATAATTTTTACTTAACAAAGAGCAAAGCAATTATAATTTTTTTCGGTTATGAATTATGCGTCTAATTATATTTGTTTGTAAGTATAATATTGGAAATACAGCTTAAGCCATTTCCAAGCTTAGAAATTCTTATACAAATTTTTATTACTAATTTAATTATAGCCAGCCCTTTTTTCGTTCCACGAAAAAAATATATATTTTATTTACTTAAATTGGATAATCCTACAACTTTTGTATGTAAGCCAGTGGTCAAAAGAATTAAGTGTTTTATTTTTTTTAAAGATAACGATTTACTTAAAATGCGTTTAAAATGTTCAATTTTCTAGATGAAAACAAATTCTTTTGAATAAAATTATTTATCCAATAAATTTAATTTTTTTATGTTTTAAGTAAAAAAAATTTTTAGAAAAACCATATTTTGCATTAAGAAAGTATTAAAAAAAAACATTCTAAGAAAAGAAATTACATGAGAAAGAACAAATATTTACACTTATTATTCTCCCGACGCTTTTTGCTTTTGAATTTAAAATTAAAAAAATTGAACAAAGTTTAATTGGTGAAGGTAAATGGTTCATTTATTCATTTCTTTTTTCGCTTTAATATTTGATCTGTTTTCTACTTGCAGTTTGATAAGGTAACAGTAAAAATTAAAATAAATGCATTTAAAAACTACTATTTAAACAAAAATAAAATAAATGTGAAAAATAAAATAAAACTAAACTCACAGCTTTGAGCTAATAAACTAAAAAATACAAATGAAAGTTAAAAAAGAAATTCCGCAAAAATATCATAAGTCAAAGAAACAAAATTAAATAGCACATATTTTACATATAAAAAAAAATGTTTTATGTTTGAAATCTAATTTCCACAAAAACAATTAACTAAATCTAAATAACACAATCAACAAAATTTACGAAAATTTATTTTCGAAAAAAATAATTTGAAGAATTTTAATCTCTAATATGAGATTTGCAAAGGGAAATCACTACAAATGCAAGGCCGAGAATAAAAGGAATGAAGTACTAAATTTATATTTATAAATTTTTTTTGTTCAATTCAATGGTACACAATCAGATTGCTTATTTGAATAATAAAATTTCGCGTTTAAGTCAATATTTATTTTTTATTTTGTATAAATTTTGTGTATAAAAATAAAATAAAAATATAAAATGCACAGTAGCAAAGTAGGGTGTGCAAAAGTATTTTAAACGCTACTATCTTATTTTTATATATTTATATCAAACTATGAATATGTACATAAGTACATAGTACATAGTTATCGTGACAAACAAATATTTTATCGATATTAATAAAACTTAAGTTTGTAAATGTTATTTTATATGGTTTTATTTTTATTTTATTGTTTTAATATATTTTTTTTTTGGACGAGTCAGCTCATCAGCTCCTGTTCAACGTTTGTTTAATGCAAAGCAAAATTTTTAATAATTATTATATACTCTTTACGTAAGACTTATTAGTTTAATTGGACAAATGTCAAAAATGCATAATGTCTATGTATATCTATGTACACTTATAATTCTATTAAATAAAATTACCAAAAAAAAAAAAAAATAAATAAATTTAATGCAAACATTTGTATTTGTTTTGACTTCAGTTATCGATGTTGTTCCGCATTTTTCGCGCATTGTAATAGCATGCCGCAGGCGTCGTCAATACGCGTGGGGAAGGTGCAGTAATTGCAATTACATCAAAGCATAAATATACTTAATCTTGCAATGTGCTATATGCTTGATCTGTAGCAATTATGCTGCTGATTTCATTCAAATCCTCAGCTGGTTCATTCACAACACATTTTATTACTTTTACTTCTTCTGATCGTCGACGTTTTACCGGTGGCGGGCTGAATTTATACATTTCACTCGTACTATTACTACTACTACTACTACTGCAATTGTGATTACTATTGCTGCTGCTGCTAATTGACGTTGGGGGGCATTCACAAGCTCTCTTTAGCGGTGATATTACTGAAGCTGGCAACAATGCCGCCCCTTCGCTTTTACACTCGATGTTTTTCGTACTACTGCAGGAGTATATTGTTGTTGTTGCTTCTGTTACATTGCTCGATTCACTCGCATTTGTATTACTAACCGTTTGTACGACTGCATTAACTTCATTGTCATCTACATTCACGTTGCCGCTGCCGGTGCTATTGCTATATGATACCACCGCTAGCGTGGGTTTGGCGCAAATTGCAAATGCACTTGTTGTTGTTATTTCACTAACTACTTCTGCTTCCACAGAGGGTGGCAAAAGTGGAGATAGTGGACCGCCATTTGCATCGATGTCATCCTCAACATCATCATCATACACATTGCCGATAATACCATTCTCATCTTCATCTTCTGCTTCGGACCACCATGAAACTTGCGCGCCGGGAAAAACATAAGAAGGTGAGGTATCATGCGCATAGTAGGTGCCTTCAATTAAACGTTCGGCTGCTGTACGGTATTTCTTTGTATTGCGATGCACCGAAATGTCTGTTGTTTTATTTTCCACCGCATCGATTGTTTGCTGCGTTGATGTCGTGGCTGTCGCTTCGCTTGTGTTGTGTATGTTGTCGGCGCAGGTTGTTGAAGCGGTGGATAAGTCATCTAATGCAGTTGTGCCACCACTATCGCCAAAATTAGTAACTGGCGGCGGCAATGTACCGATAATGTTATGTGTATTTGGCCCCGAGTTCGACGAATCGCCCAGTATACCACTATCCTTCGATGAATCCACTGATAAATGACGTCCATTTAAACCATAAGCTGTGTGCTGGTGTTGCGCCTCACTGACACGTGCGTTAAAATGTTGAAATGTACGGTTTTCAAAATCCACCATATCGCTGTGGTCTTGTAAATAATTTACTGTTGCCAAATTATCGTTAGATTCATGTGTTTTCGTTAACGGGTGATTCAATTCCATTATACTGCTTTTGATCTTCTCGATTGCTTCATTAGCCTCACTATTAGCCACCGTGGTGATAGTGGGTTTGGCAAGTACCATACCGGATGATGTGGATGATTCAAAACCGCTATCTGAATAGGCACCTGCCGAACGTAGAGCTATGTCTGTGGAGGCGCTGGATTTCACCGATTGTGTGTCTGTATCTAGCATCTGTTGGCCATACTCCTCAATTTCGTCAATAGCTTCTTCATCTTCCAATGGCGAAAGTTCCTTCGATTCTTTCAGTACAACATTGTCATAGCAAATTTCTTTCCATTCGTTACCTAAACGATGGCAAAGTTGATTGATGATAACATCTGAATCGCCCAATAACTCTACATCGAATTCAAGATGATGCAACTGCTCGCGATTGATAAGTATTTGGGGTACGCTTGCTGGTATGGAGCTGGGTATGAGAGCTACAGGTCGTACTTTAAGAGAAGAACCTATAACAATTAACAGGTCACATTTATCTTTGTCACTGGCCATGACAGTGTGGAACTCCTCAGGAAGACCTGTGTAATATGAGTTGGAGATTTTCGATGAAAGTTTGTGAGATATAAAATAATATTAAATATTCTACTACGAAACGTAAATATGATTTGTTAATTGGTGTAACACTAAATACAATAAAAGTATCATACAATTAAATAGCTCTAAATAAAGATATATTATACATTTAAATATATGTACATATACTTATATTTAATATATGTATTATATTTAGTTTTAGCTGACTGTGTCGAATAGGAAAAACATTTCAACTCACCTTCGCCAAAAAAAACAATATCTGGCTTCATAATGCCATTCTCAACAAGATGTCGTAAATCTGCATCGGATACCGCATCGGAAGCGTTGACACTCTGTTGTACATTCGGCTGGCAACGTGGGCAAACTGGTATGCGCTGTGAGAAGATGTCTTCACGTATAGCGTCTGCTGTACATTTGACCTTACATTTGGTGCAGGAAGCAGTTGAGAAGGAGCCATGACATTCAATGACGTTTTTGATGCCGGCTACTTGTTCTAAAGTATCTATGTTTTGTGTGTAATTTCGTAAAAGCTTTTGTTTTTCCTCTAGCAGTTTGATGAAGCGATGACACGGTGAAGGCTTGAACTGTCCGGGATATATTTCACGCGCAAATTTGAAAAATGGTCGTGGATCACTTGAAAAGTAATTGATGTCAAACATTGCTTGTGGGTCGGGCAAGTTAGGGAAGTCCTTCGCTAAACGACTGTAGATACCATCACTCGAACGGAAATCTGGTATGCCACATGAAACGGATACTCCAGCCCCTGTGAGGACTATAATGTTTTGTGACTGTTGAATCAATTGTATCACATCTTCGAATGTATTTATATAACGCAGCTTCTGACGACGCGGTGGTTCCGATAACATGCTAGCCAATATGCGCCATAACATCATATCATTTACACCTGGCGCTATGGGTTGTGTATTTGAAGGTAGCATTTGCGAAAGTAAATCGCGTGGATTTGCACCAGCGTGTATTTGTTTCTGTACCCAATTGATAGGACGTGCACTTATAGGTTTCCACTCACGTCCCGACATATCTGATAGTCCACTAAAATCTGAAAAATCGGAATCAGATGAGGAATCATCGTCACTGTCCTGGGAAGCAGCGTTATGTCCATTAGCACTGCACTCCTGTGACTCGTCATTGCCTTCCTGAGTTGTGTCATCATCTGTTTGATAACTGTCGGCAGCACCGTCTTCAGCGCCTGTATCATCATCAACATCCTGAAGGCTTTCCTCATTTATACAATTTTCTTTTAGCGGTAATTCGACCACATTTAATGGTGTTTCAATGTTTGTTACTGGACTTTCTTCTTCAGGCGAGGTTGTTGCCGCTACCGCCACTGTAGCTAATGTTGTGGTTGTTGCTATATTATCGCAGTTTGTTTTGATATCGCTTTCGCGTTTTGATACTGTTGTTTGTGTTCCAACTATTTCGGCGCCAAAATTAAAATTTTGTTTACCAGCCACTAATGTAGTGCAATTGGCAGATAAACATGATTCTCGTATAACTTTGACATCATGCAAATCACACTTATCAGTATGAGCAGTGCCAATTAGAGTATCTTCAAAACTTTCCATCATTTCCAATTGGTATCTAAATGGCAAAATCCAATACAAAAACGCAATTAGCCCTTCCTTGCACAGATGAAGAAAAAATTCTCTCTCTTTCCCGCTTTTCTTGGGGAGTTTACAAATAATGCGCACTCTTTCCCTCGCACTCACTCTTCACCTTGTTTATTCGTTTTCCTATGTTCTGCTTTCTTTGCTGTTTCGTTGGTACACACAAAATTTTCCTTACGTCTCTTTTGCTGATGTAAAATTTTTCTCCGCCGTTTTTTCACACTTTTCCCTAAGAAAAACCGCGTTTTTCATTTAACATCTTTACCAAAATTTTAGTAAACTTTATTTTTGTATATATTAATTACTAATTTCTCCACTAATTTTCGTAATTTTTGTTAATTTTTGCGGATATTTTTTACGGTATTTGCAGCAAATGATCCTCGCCCAAGTAGAGACGACAGTAATTTTTGGTAGTTCGTCAATGACGTGAACAAAAATGGCCGTCGTCTCGTAGGGTTGCTGTGCGTTTTTCTAGTACTTTCTCCGAACTCCGCTGAAACGCAGTAGCATGTCTGATTGGATGTACACTCAATGAGTTTATTTACTCTATGTTATTTAATTTTCAAAACTTTTTTTGGTATAAGATAATAAAACAAAGCTTGAGAGAAAATTATATATGCACCCATTTCATTGGGACACAAAATAAAAAAAAAATATTTTAGTAACATTGTTTCATTGCATAGTACCTGTCGATGCAACTGTGAGTGGAAAATTTTTACTCAGGCGGATGTATTGGGTTGCCAACTTCGGCATGATGAAATCGTATTCAAAGCAGTGAAATGGTTTTAGAGGTGAGACTTTATATGAAATAGCTTGAGCGCCTGTCTGGATTATTGCTAAACTTATCAACTAAGGGAATACTCCCAACAATGAAGAAAATCAGATTTTTAGTGTGGATATAGATCTTGTCATTTACCGGATGATCGCATAGTACAATGGGTTAAGGGAGACATTTTTGTAATGACAAATTTGTCGTAGGGATGTTCGATAGTAACGGTAAAATAAATGAACTGTCATTCTTCTTAATTATAATATTTGAAACTGCTTTCAGGGTCAAAACTCTTTTCCATATAGAACAATTTGCATTAGAATGTTGTATTGTTAATATACACAACTATTTGCATACTAAGCTCTTTTTCTCACGCAGAAAAGAAAATATTATGATATAAATTCACATATGTACTACAGAATCCGAAACTAAAAATTTCAGTTAAAAAAAGGTACGATCTTGACACGATTCATGCTGATTATATTCCACAAGGTCCAGTAAAAAAAACAATTTTTTTCTTCTCCGGATTGCTAGTAGTATTTTTATACATTTATACATATCCATTTACTTAACTTTATTTGGAATACGTTGTCCTATTTGTTTTGATATTGAATAAATGAATATATTTTAAATATTTTTCTATGAATTTTAAGATGATTTGATCTTTCATTCTATTAACATCAACAATATAAGCACCTCTGTACATTGTCTTCACTGAAGTTCACAACTCAGGTACTTAAGCGGCCCAAAAATATCCCTTTTAAATTAAAGATGATAGCAACACATGCGAACAGTTGAATAGAATCGTCAATTTGCTCATCGCTGTCGACGTCGGCGAACGTCAGAGAACGTAGAAAGAATATAGAAAGCTTTCTCAATGCAAAATTTTCTCAATTTGTTATTTTGTGTTTGTGCTGACGGAAAATATTGAGGAAAATTGATTTTTGTTGCAAAAAATTTAGAAAGTTATTGTCATGGAGAATGTAGAGCTGTACGAAATTCTCGGAGTGAATAAAAATTCAACAGATGCTGAAATTAAAAAGGTAAGCAAAGAGTTCCAGTACCCGTCACATATTCAGGAAATATTTTGTGAATGAAAAATTTGTTTTGCGGTAACGGATGTATGCTTGTCGCCACAGTTCGGTCAAATAAAGAAAACAGTTTGTGTGCGAAAAATGATTCCCTTAAAAAAATGCAATTGATAAGGTTTGTATAGGCGGAGCACAAATATGTGCAAAGTTCCTTGGGCACCAAGGAACTTTATCAACGTATCGACAATTTTAGAGCAACGTAGGGGGGAACCTTTCATAACGTCTTACATTTTTTCTTTGCATGATTGACATTTCTCTGCGAACAATGCGTTCCACAAAACAGCTGTTCGCTAAAGGCTGCCTTTGTTTATATTTGCATTTGATATAGGCGTTTAGCATTTGTTTTTGTTGAAGTACAAAATGAAACTTTGAATGAAATTATATTTTCCTTTTACAGAATTATCGTAAATTAGCAAAAGAATTCCACCCAGACAAAAATCCAGAAGCGGGTGATAAATTTAAGGAAATTTCTTTTGCATATGAGATACTTTCTGATCCAGATAAACGTAAAATCTATGATCGCTATGGACTAAAAGGACTGCAAGAAGGCAGTGATGGATTCGGTGATGCTTCCGAATTCTTTTCACATTGGTTTCCATTCACAGCTGGTCATAGTCATGCAGGGGATGGTGGCGGTGGAGCGAATAGCCGGGCACGGCAAGCAGCGCAAGTAGTTGTAAAACTAGAAGTGACGCTTGAGGAATTATATAATGGTAACGTGTCTAAACCTGTAGAATATAAACGTACTTCCTTTTGTGTTGACTGCGACGGTGAAGGTGGACCAAAAATGTCGTTGGAACAATGCAAAGCCTGTAATGGCACTGGCCGCACTGCGAATTACTCTTTTATGGGGGCCTTCGTAAATGCATTTGAATCTGTAAGTAGTAATAAAGTAAAATTAATTCATTAATACAAAAAAATTAACATAAATTTTAATTCATTTACAAACAGACCTGCCCATCTTGCTATGGACGTGGTACCACCATACCAGAGGCATCACGTTGCACTACATGTAGTGGTAGTGGTTTAGTGGAAGAAGAAGTAAAACATGAGGTGCCTATAGAAAAAGGCGCACCAAATATGTCGAAAATAGTTTTCCACTCTGCTGGCAATCAACCGTTAGTGGGCGAGCGAGGTGATCTTATTGTGGTCTTAGTACAAGCCGAACATGCCGTTTTTATAAGACGTCAAAATGATTTATTTCTGCGAGATATGCGCATAAATATCACACAAGCATTATGTGGCTTCATACATTGCTTCCAACATTTGGATGGTCGTCCAATATGCATCACAAATAAACCAGGCGATGTTATAAAATATGGCGAACTGAGGGTGGTTAGCGGCGAAGGCATGCCTTTGCGTAATAATCCCTTTGAACGTGGAGATTTGTTTGTTGAATTCAATATTGATTTTCCCGATGATAATTTTGCGACTGAAGATCAAATGCATCTATTGGAGACGCTATTGCCACCTCGCCAACCCTTCACAATGCCTGAAGACGCAGAGGAAGTTGTCATGATGGAGGTGCCACCATACGGTGAAGGTAGTCATGCTGGTGCTCACGGCGGCATGGATGACGATGATGACGATGCCCCACCACATTTCGAAAGTGTGCAATGTCAAACGGGTTAAAGCGGCTAGAAGACATGTATAGAAGTAGATGTAGTAAATCATGTGACAGCTAATGTGGAAAATAGTCGGTGCGAATACGATAAATTATATGTACGCTGTATGCAACATATATATGTATGTATAATGCAGCATAAGTCTGTATAAGGCTTGACCAAATGATGATAACCATATAATTGATAATAAGAACGTAAATTTAATGTATTGTATTTGCATATATATGTATGTATGTATGTATATTAATTCTATTTAATTTCATTTGTACTTTTTACGCACCTTTTTGGAAGTTACTTACATATTTTGGAAAGATTTGTTTTTTTTTTTAAACATTTTTCACTTTCACTTTCTCACTTACACATTTTCATTTGCTTAATAATGAAATAATATATGAAGAAAACAAATATTTAAACTAATCACATAATGATCAAATTTTATTTAAGTTAAAGGATAAAAAAAAATTTTTTAATTTTTAAATTTTAAAATAAATGTGAACATTTCCAAAACAGTTAATGGAAGTGAGCAGCAAACTGGACGATTTATTGATGGTTTGATATTGCATTAAAGCGTTTGTGCAAGACTGAAATCATTTAGCAGCGAATAAATTGACATTGTATAAAGATCTTCTTAAATAAACTTACTAACTGTATAAATACATATTTGTTTTTTTTTATTATTTGTTAGCAGCAAATTTTTGGGTTGCTTGGGCCAAACCTTTAATGGACAATTTTTCGGAATAGCAGTTGCAGTCGTTCTCGGCAGGTAATGTCAACCACTCTGCGTGTATTTATGGCACGTAATAAATCTCCTCATGAAAAACCATCAGCCGATCGGAGGCGCCTTAATATAAACTGTTGCTTCCTCCATTAGTTGGAAAACATAAAGACACAAAACCACAAATTGAAGGAGGAGCTGGGCCGAAAATCGTTCTAGCGGTTACAAAACGCCAATTAAATAGTTACTCCTTTCACTGCGAGCGACACTGGAGAAAAAATATCCGTTTCTGCGATATCCGAGATTCTTCTATCTTATTACTCGGATTTATTTTATTTATTTGTCGTCAAAAGAACCAGACTCTGCTCGTATAGCAATCGTAATATTTACTCTTTTTTTTTACTCATATTACAACAAAGCCAATGCCTTACTAATGTTCGAGTCACTACCTTTCTTGCCTCTTTGCATGGCCCTAACATCAACTCTTAACATGTAAGATGATCTCAACGACTTAGTCTCCTCTGCTGCTAAGCGGGCTGGGTGAGTCGCTACAAGAAAAACAGGGTCCCCCCAAGTAGGACAGAAGAGTAACTGGCTTGTCTCGGCCATCGACTGAAATCTCTGTTTCATTGGCTTGATTCCACCGAGAGAAGATTCTGTCGATTAAATATAAAAAAAGCTAAATTCATTGATCATTACGTAAAAATTTTGGTACCGTACTTTTTTAGAATTAGTTTAAAAAAGTCTCATGATAGAGACTTCTTTGAATAATAATTTCCCCATAGAATCGAATGGTTTTTGTTATCCTCAGCCCAATATATGGACATTGCGCACTAAACACAATAAACACGCTCCTAATCTTTCTGCGTGCCACCTTATCATACTCTTACCTGTCACGGCCACATTGGATATTTTTGAAAAACCGTTGTGCTCTTAACCTGCCTTGTTGATAGGTACATAGATATAGTTTACTCGGGGCGAAAAGCAAATAAATCAGTTTGTTCGAGTTTTGTTTAGAAAGTCTCCTGCTTCTTTCCTAGATAGCCATGTGATTATGACTATATAGTTTTACAGTCCCCAATGTTTGAGTTTATCGTAAGCGAGTCAAGTTCTTGAATGACTTTGTAGATGAAGGATGAAGAAGTAATTGTCTTTAAAGTTGGTTTCTACTTCCTAGCTAAGCTAGCAGTCAGCCACCCTGAAAGCAGAGACCTCCGCCTAAAAAACACAACGATAGTCCGTTATTTTAGACACCATAACCGATTCTCAATTCAAGTCTCGATCCGTCTGTATATATTTCCACATTGACAACGGAAGTGTGTAAGTTGTAGCTTCATATTACCCTTTTGGCGATCCAATTATTGGGGTTGATAAATTCTGTGATTTTGAGCCGCTGTTTTCTGTGTAATTTTGAACTATTTCTGAGTGCCTCAATGGTTGGTTATTTCATTTGTTTGACTCCCTTAACCGTCCTCGATCTAGCCCTATCTAAATATTTAAGGATTTTTGTACGTGAAAGCAACTGCGATGCGTGTCGTTTAATTTATGGTGAGTGTCTTAGTGTTTTTCCAGTAAATGGGAGGAGATAAAGTTTATTTCAAACTGCCTCCGAGCGGCTGATGGATTTTTATTTTAAGTCAGAAATACACTCAGAGGGTGCCAGTATGTATGCCTTGCAGTCAACGAAATAATAAATTTATTGAAGGAAACTCGCATCGTGAGCTTTAATACCACCGGACAATGTTTTTTTTTTTTTTGTTTATGCGAAGTCGCTTGTCTACGCAGATAAGCCCGAGAGAGTTGAATAGAATGCTTGGTATGAGTTCTAGACTATAAGGGGGATATATAAGAGACCTCCAAGCAAGCTCTCGGAGCTTCTGGCGAATCACAATCGATGTGAGTGGTCCGGTGTTGACTTGATGAAACACAATTCACCTCCTGTTGGCAACTGGGCAATTGCTTCCTCCAGACGGTTCAATTGCTGACAGTAGAGGTCCAAATTAAGAGTTTGGCAGTAGAGGTTGAGGCTCATAGTGGATGATTACTTGCCAACTGCGCCAAATACAATACAAAACCTTCCGGGCTGTCAATTCTGGCTTGGATACCAGACCATTTGTGCCGGCTCACTGTCCTTCGACCAGGGCCGCTTTCTTTTGACGTTGCTTTAAGTAATCCATACTTCACAAACAGTCTTAATCTCTTCCAGAAAAAGGGTCGATCTTGTTACGATTCAGCAGACATACTCAGATGGAAATTTGGTCCAAGTGGCACCCACCCATGGAGCTTCTGAATGTATCCAAACCATTTCAAGTAGCTCTAAGCTGTTTTTTGTGCAATGTTTAGCTCCTGGACAATCGAAAAATTACTTGCAAGACATTATTTTATCGACAATTTCGACAATTCGCCGTCCACACCGTGGAGCGTCAATTACATCAAAATTTCCGGAACGAAATCGACGAAATCAACATTGTGCGCAATTGACTGTTACAGTTTCAGACCCGACATATTTTACATTTTCGGCTGCATGACTTGCGTTTTGCGCTTTCATCGAAGCAAAATTGTTGAATCTAGCGGGCATTCTCTTTGCTGGTGCCAGTCTTTGGTTTGAATTCAAACACTACTGAGTACGCTTTAGCGTAATGCAATCGCTCTCATAGAACGCGAGATACAATTCACTAAAGCCATCAATTCAAAAAATTAATGGATTACTTTTTACTAGACCTTTAATAATAAGGGACGGCAGAGAATGCCAACCGCTCTGAGTGTAATTCTGACATGAAATAAAGGCTCCTTATAAAAGAAACCATCAGCCGTTCGGAGGCGGCTTGGTATGAACTGTAGGTCCCTCAATTTGTTGGAAAAAAATCAAGACGCAAAACCACAAATGGGAGGAGCTCGGCCGAAAATCGCTCTAGCGGTTACAAAGTGCCAATTATTATATATATAATCATATAATAATAAGAGTCAACTGAAAGTTAGCGGATTCTCATTATGCTTGAAGATTTGATAATCTTCTTATATTTTTTTATGTATACATATGTATGTATGTACATATTATATGTATACCTGAATTATGAAAATAGTTTAAGGCCAATTATATTGCACTTTAAAAAAAAAAAATTAAAAAAATGTTAAAACTTATATTTACACGTTTGCTTTATAGTTGCATACATGTACATATGTATGCATATAAGTATATAAGAAATTCTAATCTAAACTTGGCTGTACACACTTGTAGACTTATTTACTAAATGCCGTTCTTTCCTTGCTTATCTCGCTTGCATGGTTAAGTGCCAGCCATTGTCCGCTTTAAGTATTTATAGTATTTATATTTACATATATATTCACGTACATACTCGTCTGTAAGTGTGTAAATCTGTGTCTCCATTGTTAGTGTCAATGGCCTTGAAAAAAACAAAAACATTTTCTAATGCACTATTTCTACTCTACGAGCGATAAGAAAATGCAAATTATGAAGAAGAAAAAAAAATCGAAATGCAAATAATAATAAACTCGCAAGCACAAGAGATTAGACGAATAGAAAAAACGCAACAGCAGCAATAAAAATGAAAAATATAAATAAAAATTAAATAAAAACTAACTACATACATACATACTTAGCTAATCTGGAAAGCAATTAAAGTAATAAACTTCTGTTGATATACTCGGTGTAAGAAAAAAAAACAAGAAAAAAAACAGCTTAATATCATCCTTACACATACTTCTTCCTCTTTGCTGACGTAGACACCGCTTACGCTAATATAGTCGAGTCAAGAACAATGAGCTTCCCTGCACTCCTTCCTTTCGCTGTTCTGTGCCAATTGGAAATACCAAGTCTAGCCAGGACCTACTTCACCTAGTTTTTCGAACGGAGTGGAGATGACCTAGCCCTAACTATGCCAATGGCGCCGTATATCTATTACAGTTTATCCCTTCATTGGCTGCGGTATTCGCCGTTTGCAATCTTAAGGGGCACATCTAGTATGATATTTCAAAAAAACCGATCTTTTTTCATATTTCGGTAGAAAACACTTTTAAAAATAACATATTAAAATTTCAAAACGATATCTCAAATAGTTTTTGAGTTATAGAAATTTAAAGAGCAGCCGCTTGGCAGCTAAAGAGTCTCATTAGCTACGAGACGTACCTGCTCATTTTATCTTTAAACGCGTTTTTCTCGAAACAGCATTTTCCGAATTTGCTGTAGTGATTACTCCGATCACTATCGATTCTTTATATAGTACTCTGTACAATGGCCTATCGATTTTTGATCTGATCAAAAAATTGAATTTTGGCAGGCCAAAAGCGACCAAAATTTTGGGTAAAATTCGACTATTTTTTTAAAACGCTGCCATATCGTAAGTCATTGTACAGACAATATTATCTTATCGAGAATTTTTTTTTTAGATTTCATCCACGCGGAAGGCCGGAATCACTGCAGCAGTGAAGCACCATTTTTTTAGCGTCGTTGGAGATCGACTATAACTTAAGAA